ATCTACGTTATTCTACACTGTGTTGGTTAGGTGAACCTGTAAAAACTTACGCCAAGGTTTCTTTGCTACTTGATATTCAACTATATGGAACAGACTCCCATTAATCCTTCATTGCAGTGAAACTATAACCCAGTTCAAGATTCTCCTTGATTAATTTCCCAAGCGGTTTGCGTCACTTATCAAATACCGTCATGATTACCAATGATTTATACCAACAAATTCGGATCTCTATCTGATTGACTTTAAAACTAAGCGGAAGTTTCCAATCTTTTTAAAGTTCTTTCGTGTAAATAATAATCTAATAATTGCTTCCTTAACAAATAAATATACTTTTGTTTTTCTCCTTTCCATCTACATAAATTTCATTTCCACCCGCTCAGAGTTTCTAGTTAGAAAGACAAAGTCTTGTATTAGATTTACTTATATAAATTGACCTTTCAGATCCATTTCATCTTCACCATGTATATATGACTCATACAATTTGATATTTATCGATCATTCTCCACAAACTAATAAGGCTTTTGCCGCGTCATTCTAAACTATTACTGTCGAGTCGCGGTTGACTATGATCACCACTATAGGAAGACTACGTTTCAAATACCAGGTCCGATCTCTCGGTAGACCAACTATCAGAAGGGAATTGAAGATTGTAGTAAGACACACTTGTTGGCGATCTTGTGGTATCGAAATAATACCGAGAACATGTCAAAGTTTACAAGAGGGACTATAGAGTGTGCGCGGGTTCGTGCAAGGTCACATGCAATGGAAGAATGTGTGTTTTTAGTACACTTAAAAAAACAGGTACAGCAAAACAATCACTGGTACAATTGGTTATAATAATAATTGTTTCCATTATGCCAATCTTATTTTACCACCAAATCTTATTGCATTCATGATTTGTTTTGTGGTTCTTTCCGTAATATAAGTTACTGTTTATCCTTATTATTTCAATAACATAATAAGTTATCTACATATTTCACTTTCTTTCCTTTCTTATTTCTCTAAAGCCAACTAAGTATTTTTTAAATGCTACAGAAACTGTTTAAATGAGGTGATACTGTGAAAATATTATTGAACTTTGTGTATTATTGAATTTCTAAATAAACCCGAAATTGTTTCTTCACAATAATAACTGTAATTATTGTTATGAAGTGAAAATTTGTAGTGGTTATAACTACATACATACCATTTTAATTACGAATAAGTACATAATCAAATCTAAAATGTTCTTAAATTTGAGTTTTATTCTTGATTTCAAAGGTAGCAGTACTAATAGTCATTCTAAATAACGGTAAACCTAGCATGCAAAGTAAGATTTAAGGAGAAAATGTGACAAAACAGAGATACTACTCTAGATATTTTTTGTCTTTTTGCTATTGGAACTTATATGTAACTGCATTTCTGACGTAACCAGGAATGGTTTCTTTACAACACTTATGAACCAATAAGTTGTTTGTGAATAATAACATTAATTACCGTGAACTGGTTGGGGTTGTGCATTTTTCGACTATGGATTATGGCATGCTTGCAGAGCAGGAAACAACTAATATTTTAGCAAATAAATAAGTTTGCGGTTCTCAGCAAGTTAGCTACTGATATTTCCATGGATTAAAATATTTTCTTTTGGACAAACTTTACGCGACTCATTCAGAAAGTATTATTCCTGAGCTAGTAGAAACGTTTGTTTCTTGGAACTGGTAACAACCCTATGTCCCTAATTAACTCATCTATTCGATGTAATTCAGGTTTGAATGCCTGAGCTCATTGAGCAATAGCCGGTTGAATAACTGGATGGTCATATTTGTTTAGGTAAACACGTGCGTTTAAGTTTAGAACCTCGTGTCTTCCCGTTTCTTCTCCAATCATTTTGTTTTGTTTACGGACTGGCCAAGAATATGTGTACAAACTCACTTCCACGGTTACCATCTCTATAACGACCGAAATTCCGGGATACGGTATGAATGAGGAGTTATCAAACCTACGTTATTTGACTGGGTCAAACTACGTTCTTCTGTATATCTTACGAAGCGTTTTTTAGCAGGTGGTGTTAAATTACATCAAAACACAAAGAACATGTATAATTTGATCTGTTCTTATCTAAGAACAGAAACAAATTATATAAGAGCGCAAAATACCTCACATGGAATAGCTTGTGCATTACAGTCAAAGTTTAGTCTATGATGCAATGACGTGCCAAACAGGAAAATGAATGGTTGATAAATAAGTATTCGGTACGTGAGAAACAATAAGAGTATGTAGTGGCATTGATACAACTTGTGTTCTCCCTGAGCAGCTCTCACTGTTTATCACCTTGTAAAGATTGATTAAGCCGAAAACATCGTTCAACACCATGTAGCCTATACTTGTGACATATAGGCTCCGTCGATTTCAACAACTTATGATGACTCTATTCCAAATAAATCGATCTTTACCTTAATCCAAACTCGATTCTTGCAACTAACTTGTATGCACCATCAGCCCGTAAGTGTGAATATAAATAAATGGTTTAATGCACATCAAAGCACTGAGTCTAGAAAAAGTCTTTCACGGATCCACTCATGTCTAGCGGATAAATGTTAGCTATCTATCGGAGACTCACATGATTATCATTACTTTCATGTATTAAAAGGATTTTTGATAACCATTCATATGTATTGGCAGTTTTATCCAATCGTATCACGGTTAATCAATAATGTGGTCGAGATCTCTCCACAACTAGATAGACCGTTTTAAACTTGAGAATCTGACAAAAACACTGGTTGGAATTCTTCCTCTCCGCCGTTATACTTTTGTGACCGGAAATCAAGTCATACTGACAGCCATTTCATTTCGAGTATGCGAGAACTAAACCAAACATTTCGGAATTATTGAACTTATTTCCCGATCAGTTAATGTAGCCTTCTTTTTTATTTGTCTTATTATTCTTTTGGTAATCTCGGGTATGGCTTAGCCTTACAGAGGTAGTCATCCTTGTAACAAATCCCTATTCAGATTGAAATAAATTACTATATCCCCGGCCCAAATGCGTTCATCAGAAGTGCTAAAAATTGTTATGCTGTGTCACCATACAACGAGTTAGAACAGATAATGCTGTGACCTCCACGCGAGATCTTGTAGATCAGGTAGTCACGTCCAGACAAATTTACAATTTTGGGACTAGGTCTATTATCATATTAGTGATAATGCCAAATAAGACCATAATTCTACAAGTGTTTCCGACAAAATAAGATGAAAATATCTATCTGCGTAATTTCGAGTAGCCGTTTTCAGCAGGCAGCCAAAAGTCAACCATGTTGTGAACCTGACTTTAGCCAAAAACTGCCTTGTCGTCACCAGTCCGATTACATGCAGCAGTAAGATCAAGTAATGAAGGTAAATCCTTAACCAAAGTCAAATAGCAAAGACCAAGACAAGGAAGACTGAAGAATATGTCGTGGTTACAAGAGATATGGGTAAAAATTAAAATATAGGACAGGGAGAAAGAACAAAGAAATAGAAGTACTGCCCAGTAGTACACTTGAGAAGGATCTTCAGCGTAGTCTTTACTGTACTCTGATTCCAACTCGCTTTAGATTGTCACTGAGATATATACAGTTGCCGTTACAACATCAAACTGGTAAGCTCAGCTATAGCATAGTACGCGATCAAAAAATTAGCAGTATTTATACTGTTACCTGATAGCGAGTAGTGGAGTGGTAAATAAACTCATAAAGTAAATAGTTTTGCAAGGCTTCGAAATTGGTGCTGATATGATCAGCTTTACCTGACGCATTATAGCTGAAGGCCCTCTGTTACTCATACTCATCAGATCACCAACGTCGTGCTGTGTTGCCCTCTCAACAACCAGTCAGCCATTTCTCAATACGCAGAATACCTTAATACTTCTTTACTGCTAATTTCCGGTTTGACTTCGAGTAAGACATAAGTAAGATAGTGGTCAGTAACGTCAACAACATAAATTCTGACTACTGTTCAGAGGTTGTAAACAATAACATAATTGTAATCCTGGATAAACTGAAAGCGGGACAGAATATATGTTAGCACAAAAACATCAGAAGAAACGATTTACATCCAAGTCGACTCAATCTATAAGCCAATAAGGAAAAAAAGGCTAGCAACACGACGAAGAGAGGTCAGATCAGTAGTAAAAACAACCAAAGAAACGTACAAACAATGGCCATACACATATGGACAACAACCAATAAAACTATTAGTTGACAGAGCGAGCAGCTAGTCATCTGCGGAGAAATTCAAATATCTCACTTCTTATTGAAATGCTTACTGATGATTCCGTCAAGAAAGACTGTGGAAGCATCACAATTAAGCCATCCTAACCAGACAACGAAAAATCCTCAAAATCCTCATTCTGAGCTATAAATATTCACCCCTATCCCAACTTGGTTCTTGGCTGATAAGGGTTGTCAGAATGAGCCTACAAATATTTTTTCCAGAAGGTGATAAAAACCACATGTCATATACGAAGATTTTGCTTATTAATTTGAAGAAGCTATTTAGTCGCCTCGGCTTATTTTGTCTGACCAGCGGAAATGGTTTGTTTTAGCCAGTCGATCTTCAGGAAACAGATTTTGTGTTCCAGGGATCTGCTGAGCTCACTATGATATTTTGGATAAAATGAAATACCCGAGTTTAGACCGATTTCATGGAAGTCTAAATATACGCTCGACTAAGTCACATCAAGTACTTTTAGAGCGTCGTTCTCAAAAATGGAGATAAGGTACTTGTAACATTCTTTTTAAGGGTATGCATCTGTCGGATCCTTACAACGAATAACTCAGCTGAGTCTTTCTGCATGCTCAACTCTGCTTATAACTGTCTGAATGATCAGTGAACAAGGCGAGACATTGCAAATATGTAGGAGTAATCGAGTTTAATATGTCAATTAATACATATTTTTAACCATTTCAGTGGTTGAAAGGTGTAGTGAACCAAATTGTATCTTGAAAGTTTGTTGACCTTACTTTGTTTTAAGCAAGCAGAGAGACCTAGATTAACCAATAGCTTTTAGACACATTTGTTAGTCATATTTTTAAGTCCTGTTTCGCGTTGTGGGTGTCGGGATATTCTAACAATGGGGAGACCATGGGATCTGTCCGTGGTACATAGCCTAGTGGTAGTTAGTAAGTTATGGTTTCACTTTTTTATTCGATGGAAATAGCTGTATTGGCATGTGTATTGTGTGATCCGTCATCGTTACTGTCTGATATTCCTGTATCAAAACCTAATGAGGGACTTTCAACAGCCTCAGACACTTTAGCTAAGTAAGTTTCACGAATAATACATTTATATCATGCTAGAGAAGGGGAGGCAATCAGCTTGGATGGTCTAAGCGTTGAACAGTTGAAGCAAGCACGGGAACATGCTGAAAAACGACAGTTTGAAGCTGAGGTTGATCGCATGATGAAAATAATAGTTAACTCTCTGTACAAAAATAAGGAGGTAATGTTGGTTTTTTCTTTGACTGTGTAGATCTTCCTTAGAGAATTAATATCAAATGCATCAGACGCTCTGGATAAGATTCGCGTTCTTTCGCTTACTAACAATGAAGTTCCTGATGAGTCTGACGAAATGAGAATCCGAATAAAAGTAGGTTTTCTTAGTAAACATTTAACAACCCTTTAAGGCCAATAAAGATGCACGGACACTTCATATAATAGACACAGGCATAGGCATGACAGAAGCTGAACTTACCTCTAACTTGGGAACCATTGCTAAGTCTGGAACATCTGAGTTCTTGACTAAGATCTCTCAAAGTAGTACGGCCACAGAAAAGTCTGACCTTATTGGCCAGTTTGGTGTTGGGTTCTACTCCTCTTTCTTAGGTTTGTACACATAAATAATTTGTTCATATCTTAGTTGCAAACAAAGTTTTGGTTGTATCCAAGAGTGATAATGATGACCAGTATATCTGGGAGTCCAATTCCACTTCATTCGTAGTTTACAAAGACCCACGTGGAAACACCCTTAAACGTGGGACTGAAATTGTCCTTTACTTAACGGAGGAGGCAGAAGATTATTTACAATCCGAAACTCTTAAAGAAGTTGTGAAAAAATACAGTCAGTTCATCGATTTCCCCATTTATGTGTGGTCGAGTCGAGTGGAATCGCAGGCTGCTGAACCCGAAGAAAAGGAGGAGTCAAAAACAGCTGATTCTGAAGCTAGCGTAAGTGTTTCCTTTAATTACGACTTCTTTTAGGTTGAAGAAGAAAGTGGAAAAAAAAGTGAAAGCAAGACCGTAGACAAAGTCGTCTGGGACTGGGTACGTGTAAATGCAAATAAACCTATTTGGAAACGCAAACCGGCCGACGTTACTGATGCGGAGTACAATGATTTATTCCGTGCCTATTCAAATGATAATGACGATCCTCTCGCCAAGATTCATTTCAGTGGTGAGGGAAATGTGTTATTTAGTTCAATACTGTATATACCAAAACATCTTCCCTCTAACATATTCCAGATGCACAGTACTCATAGTGATAGGATCAAGGTAAGTATTTCATACTATGTACTAAAATATTCTGTAGTTGTACGTTCGTCGTGTATACATTTCTGACGCAGCCGATGATCTGCTTCCTAAATACTTGGCATTCGTTTTTGGTATAGTGGATAGTGACGAACTTCCTCTAAATGTTTCTCGTGAAATGCTGCAGCAAAACAAACTCCTTAAATTGATAAAGATAAGATTGGTCAAGAAAGTTCTCCAGATGATTAGCGAACTTTCTGAATCTCAGTTTAAAAATTTCTGGAAGGAATACTCTGTGAACATAAAACTTGGTATAATTGACGATCTTCCAAATCGCACTAAGTTATCCAAGTTCCTACGGTTTTGGACTTCAAACAGCACTGAAAACCAATCAAGTCTTGCAGATTATGTTTCACGCATGAAAAATGGTCAGGAAGATATATACTATCTTACCGCATCTTCAATAACTGAGGCGAAGTCATCTCCATTTGTAGAAAGGCTAATCAAGAAAGGCTATGAAGTCATTTATATGATCGATCCTGTTGACGAGTACATGCTTCAGTCGCTAACTGAATATGATAAGAAAAAGTTACGAAATGTGGCAAAGGGAACGATCGAAATCGACAAATCGGAAGAAGCAAAGACTCGTAAAGAAGAACTAGACAAAGAATTCAAACCTCTCTTGGAATGGTTTAAGGAAAATTTGAAAGAATATGTCGATAAGACTGCCTTGTCAGAAAGATTATTGAATACTCCATGTGCTCTTGTCGCTAATGAATTCGGTTGGTCCGGAAATATGGAGCGCATTATGACTGCACAAGCATATCAAAGGGGTGGAGATCCATCATCTACTTATTACTCTACTATGAAAAAGGTCTTTGAAATTAACCCACGCCATCCAGTAATGAAAAAGTTAAACGTTCTTATAAAGACCTCTAAAGATGATCCTACAATAAGTCATACTGCGAATTTGCTCTTCGATGTTGCGGTCCTTCGTTCAGGTTTTTCTGTTAAGAACCCTGTTGCTTTCGCAGAACGAGTTGAATCTGTTGTAAAGAAAAGTTTAGATATTGATCAAAGCGAGTTGCTGGACGAAGAACCTGAGACTGATGAGGAGTCTGTAACGGATGAAGTGAATAAAGTAAGTTGATAATGTAAGTGTAATTTATACATAGGAGTCGATTTCAAATGAAGATTCAACGAACGAAAAGTCAGAAGCATCTTCGCAAATTGATGTAAGTTCATTATCTGGTGCTTGGTATTTTTGCATGTTGATTTTCGGAATGCTAAACTTAGTTTTTTCATTTTTCATGGATAGGAAAATCAACCAAGTTCACCAAAGGATGAGCTTTGAACGCATTTGTATTATCTCGCCGATCCTGTCCCCACTTTTCATTGTTTTTGGACTCATCTTCAAATTTCCAAACAGCCTTTATCCGCATGTGACTTGCATGTTTTCTTGAAGACGTAGGAATCGTTTGTTGTTCATCTCGTTTTGAATTTAGAAATATACTTTTGTATGCATTACCAGTTTTTTGTTCCACTGACAACACGACTAATATATGATACTGCTCAATAACCAAGTACAGATTCATGTACTCAGTTCAGTTACATTCCTTACTTAGAGGCTAGTGATAGTATTTGACCGTTGAAGTAGAGTTAAGTGAAGTAGAAGCCAAACATACTGTCGGGGTAGTTTCAGTCTAAATGTTCCCTCATTGCATATCTCTCGGTTAGAATACACTTACTGCCAGTGGAGCAGTGGCATACTCGTTAAGGCGCTTGACTTTCAACCAATAAGTTCGTTCCGTTGGTCTAATTAGTGTGGAATTAAAATTGTGGTAAATGAGTGTCTCAGTCTAAATTTTGGATAGTAGGACTATCTTTTAGTAACTGTATGATGATCGTATGGGAATATCTATCAAAATCAATGGCTAAGTGCTCACTTCAATAAGTTTCCGTCAGAGATAATCACCAACTTCATAGCTAACAAGCTTATCAGAAATCTATTGATTAGCATCATTGGCTGGAGCATTTTCTTAACGTTTGACACTATGTCAATTCTTAGAGTAACTCCCTCCACACCTAATTTAGTGCGAGCGACGAGGCAATAACATAAGCCCTCACACATGAGGACCTGGTGATTGAGTAAATTTACTTATTATTCACACTACACTGCGATCCTTACAGCTGTGTTTTGGATATATATTGCTTATGCAGAGTACTGTTCACTTAATACCCATGTGGCAACCCTAGTACTAGTTAGAAGAGTGAGTGATAAGATACCACTTGGTTCATTTACTAGAACTAACTATCTGTTAGTTTTAAAGTTGGTCAAAAAGATATGGTTTAGTATCGTTAAACTATACGGGACCCAAAGAGTTAGTTGAAGTTAATTATGAAGTTGTAGGAGGCGAAATATGAGTTATCATAGTAAAAGTGATTGTTACCTTAGAATTACGTAACCCAGATTCTCTTGCATCTTTGTGTGGCTAACTTTTTCGAGCCAGCTTAGTTTTCGCTGGGGTTCGTACTAGTAAGCTTCCTCGACCTATTTAAGGGTACATTATTTATTTGCTTGAAGTTAACAATGATGTATATTAAAAGGTGGGTTTTTTGTAGAATTCTAAGAATAATTTAATCTTCACTGAGAAATAACTGCAATCGATTTGTTGTTACTTATTGGCCTGAAAGTCGATCATAGATTACTGTCTTATGTTTCACTCAATCATTTGCATTATGGCTCTGTACGTTTTGCAATATGGGATACTTTTGTTATATTAGTGATGTAAAAGAGACATACCGTATTCTCAGTGTTAAGTCTTTCTCATCATCATTGCTACATTATTTTGAGTTTCTTTGGTATTCATCTTGTTGAATTAATTCTGTCATGGTATAGTGGCTTATATCAAATCAGTTTTGTAACAAGTTGTACACTAATTATTACTGACTGAAGGGAAGCCGATCTTTATTAACGAAAACCCACTTATCTATGACCATTATTGAGGATTTCATAGATCGTCAGTTAATCTTAGTATTTTAGGATTGGGTTATGACTAAAATGACGGTAAAATACAGACGTCTTGTAAATTTGGGTAATTTTTTTCATATTTTCTCATTTGATTTGTTGTCCGTCTTTACATTGTTGATTAGCATATAATCGGGTTGTATTTTGTTGGATTCTGAAAGTCTAAATAATATGCCAAACCTCGTATTAATTATATCTGAGTATCTTTGCATGACCGACACTTTTTAATTGTACATATGTGAAAACGAATATGTCATTTCATGCTTATATTATTTCCAACCACAAAATGTAAGGTTTATTTAGCATTTCTCACCAAATAATTTGCTTTATGTATATTTTCAACTGTTATGGAATTTGTAATAATTATTTCATAACTCATTCACATGTTATTATTAGCTCCAGTTTAAGAGGGTTTTGTTAATTAGAAATGAGAAGGAATTCATTTACTAAGTACATGTCTATGTGCAAAACTTTTAATCATACTGATACTGTCAGTATCGGTTATACTGCCTTAGGGATCACGTCACTTATCTAAAAATCACGGAGTATCATAGTGTATTGACATATGGATAAGTTGGGTAGCCTCTGTAAATAATTTCCATATTGGTTCGCTAATTGCCGACTTAAAATATCTATTATATGTGCTACGTATGATATCCATTATCGCTTAATCGACTGGACATGACTGAAAATAGATAACCTAATCTTATCCCTAACCATACTATGTACAACACAATCTACTTTATTTTAGGTTAGCACACCTGTATTCTGTCTAAAATATCCTGGTTACTTGAGACAAATATAAGACGTTCCATCTTATTTTTACTCTACTACAGAATTAGCCTCTCATATACTTGGTGAGAAGTGTAAACTTGGTATTTATTACCTAAATGAGAGATTTGAGGAGACGAATTTCACTTAAAAATAGTCTTTGTTAAGGGCTGATAACAGGTTTGTTTTTAATTTCCATTGGGCAAGAGCATGAGTATCTGAACTAACCTCCACAGTCTTCACTAATTTAAAACTGCTTTAGTTCGGAAACAACAGTCTCACCAGATCTACTTCCTTACTAGTTTGCTACTTATCTTCCGTGGGAAATATACCTACCAAAGACAAAGGAAGATGGTGGCTCAGTATTGTGGATTGACTGAATCCAGACTTGTACAGTAGTGGATCTCAGCTGATTGGTCTAAAAGTTAAGTGTTCGAGTTATACCCAAGTCCCTAAGTTGGATTCCCGGTTAAGGAGTCGTGTATTTGGATTGGACAAAACGGCCATCCAGTGCCCTATGGCTTTTAATAGTTGTCTAAATTATATCGGTTCGGGATTCCGATGAAATCCATCTACCTCCACAACTCCATGCCGACAATTAATTTCTTGTTATCTAATTGGCTCTTGTGTTGTATGAAGACTTATAGTGATCAATAAATATTAGTTGATGAAACTAATGGAATTTCTGACGTCCGGTCTATGATCGTTATAAAAGTCCTTTGAGAGTGTGTTATGCAAGAACAGACAACTTGAAAAATTTTCAAAATCATCTCACTTCAAATTTTCCCGACAATAGGAATTCTTTTTTACTACACTCATTAATTTATTCCATACCAATAACTATAACTGATTGATCTCTTAAATGATAGGATGGTAGGATAACGTTGTTAGATGAAACATTTAAGAAATAGATTAAGTGTGAATTATAAATTTCCTACAACTCTAACTATTGAAGAAAAAGAAATGGTTTTGAAGCATAAACTTAAAGTGTATGGAGTAAAACCATCTCATATGTAGTGTTTTCTCTGTGTGTGTACAGTGTTTCGGATAAATATAGTGATCTTGGGGTTGTTTAAGTAAGAGCACAATTATATGAACTGATTTTTAGCCTTTGATACAATAATACCTATGAATCATACATGGATTATCCGTCACTATTACAATATAGATCATAGCACATTTTCATTGTACAAAAGATATCAGGATCAATGAAGGGTTGTGGAGATTGTTGACTTTTGACTGAAATCATGAATCGATCAGTGTTATACCACTATTGATCTCAGAGTTCTAGTGAGAAGCTTTGAATAATGGAGCTAATCCGTGAAGACGATGGAACCTGGTCGCGAAATCTCTTGGATTAGTTGAAGTTGGACATTAACAACTTTGGATGCCGGCTCAATGGTCAAGAGATGAAGCGTTCGTGAACGAGACCGAAGGTTCTGGATTTGTTTCCCGCATCCGGGCTCGTGGATGCGCACTTCTGAGTAGTCTCATACTAGAACGAAATGGCCGTCCAGTGCTTCCAGTTTTCAGTGGTAGTCTAATATATCAGAATCTTTTAAACATTCAAAATAACTGATTTATCAGCTTTGAACAAACTATCAAATTTTAGAAACTATAGAATTCGAAGCCTTGAAGATTTATTGAAGATTTCAAGTTAACACTAACTAATATCATGTCTGGATACAACGAAAGAAATACTAACCTTTTCTAATGTTAAGAGGTATGAGTAAAACGTCAACTAATGTATAACTATTTTTCAATAAAATATTTTTCTGTAATAGCTAAAATGATAAAAATCCAACCAATACCTCCACCAGTTGATATCTACCTCAGTATATTTTGTCCAAAAAGGTAAATCGATTTATTTTAACTCACTATTTTAAATATCAGTTGGTCACTTAAATTTATAAATTTTATTTTTATTATTTTCTAAAATCATAAATGATAACGCTACTGTCATATCGTACCAGTCTAGTGAGGTTCAATTTATTAACAATGTATAGTGGCTTAGTTATAGTAAATTAGCATTATCGGATGATGAATACAATTTCTTCTTGTTGTCATGATTTATACTTACTAAAATCCAGTTCCGTTTAAACATTTGGTTAAAAGGAATGAAATAGCAGAGTAATTTTAGTTTTCTGTGTGTGCCGACATCAAATCCTTTCAATGTTTTTGATACAATTTAATGAAGTGGTGTGTTTGTGGGCGTATCTGGGTAGGGACTGAGTCAAAAACAAAGTAGGAATTTTTTCAGTGAAACAATTTCGAATGTCACTTCAACCTCTGAGTAACGGTAGTTTCAGACTGAAAGTTCTGTTTACTTTGCATGTGATATTAGAAAAATTATTGTTCTATCCCATTATCTCTAATATACTGAGTAGGCTACATTCATCCATAACTGACTGCCATAGAAATATCAAGTGTATTGTGGTGCCCAAAATCCTCACTGAACCGTACAAGTTTCGTAAAAGTTAGGACTCGAAATAAAATCTTTAATAAAAATTACACTCGAATACGTAATAATCACCCAGTGAATAAACAAAAAAAGAAACAGAAAGTGTTGGGTTAAATACACTTAGTTAACATGAAAACGTTACAGATAACTTGAGATTATGACGTAAAATGCTTATAATTAGGAAAGTACTGTCACGTTGCTTAAGCGACCGTAGATTAAATAGAAAAGTAATTAGATTTAGATAAGATAGTTATGATGGCCGATCAAATCAGTTTGAACTTCATTACCGAAACTTAATGCTTATTCATTAATGATAGTTTCATGCAACTGTACTTTCATCATTACGAATACATCAATATTCAAATTAAGTAGTTTTGAATTTTGATAGGATATCGTTTGAATATAATATCATCGATGTAATATAATATTAACATAATATTAAAAAATGGGATATTTTGATACTCGCATTGTTAAATCCAATAATAATCCTAGTGAGATGTCGTTACCAGTGGAGTTCAACCAGGCCTGTTGTGAGATATCAACTCACTGAAGACAATGGTATACGGTGGTGCAACTTCGTGGATCGGTTGAAGTTAGACATTAACACCGTTGGATGCCGGCTCAGTGGTCTATTTGTTGAGTGCTCGCGCGCGAAACCAGTATGCCCTGGGTTCGAATCTCGCAAGGGGCGACGTCGTGGATGCGCACTGCTAAGAAGTCTCATACTAGGACGAAACGGCAGTCCAGTGCTTCCAGGTTTTCCATGGTGGTCCAGCTTCAGTTGACTCATGATTTCAACCAGTGAAATTTCTAAAAATCCCCACAAAACCCATTCTGATAATTTTTTATGTTAAGTAAGTTTACTAGTATTTTAAATGTAAGATGGGAATTTTGAGAAACAATATATCAAGTTCATGGAAATATCCTATTAGAAATTGTTAAACAGTGAAAATGTTTGGTCGTTTATTTATCTAATCTAAAGGCCACCTTTTATCTCATCCATTAACATCATCTAATGAAATATTTGAAATTTAAATAGAATCAATCAGTTGTTGTTTGACATCTTGACAAGATCGATGGTCGTGGATTTAATTCCCAACTGTTGGATCAGGGATTCTTACTACTGATGAGTTTCATATTAGAAAGAAGCAGCTGTTCAATACTTTCATGTTTTTGATAGTTGTTTAATCTAGATAGATTCTTGATCTCAATATTAATTAACTGTCTACACAGCCCTATCCTGATAATCATCTTCTTAACTGTTAACCTTTTCATATGTACATACCCACTACACAAACAGTCGACTTGTACTACTGAATATGACGTTAAACATTAACAAAACGAATGAACCATTATACACCGAAATGACTTTAGTTTGTAAGTAAAATGTGTTTGTCAATGAATGCGTTTGAATGGTATGCATTTATTTGTTTCTTTATTTTTATTATGATTATATTTTTGCATGAGAATGTTAACTTCTTTGCTTACTAAATCGAATTTAATTGCAGTTTGTCGTAGTTTGAATTTTTATGCTGTAGCCGTTAATGAACTTTGAACGTATATACGATGAACTGTTATGAAGCAATCATGAGACCATTGAAATATTAAATGACTAGTTCAGTTGTTTCAAGTTTACATCATTATTAATTTATTCGAAATTATTTAGGTTAACTATCTGAGTCAATGCAAACTGAATAGTTTTAGTTAATCAGTTACTTTGAGTGTTAATACCAAAGAATATTGGAAAGATATTGAAGTGCACAATATGGTTTCTATATAACATGAAAATTATCTTCAGTTGTCACAGTAATATGGATATCAGATAAAATACTCTTTATGAGTCATGGTTTATTGAATTTGGCGTTTGATTTTAATTTAAACTAGGTGGTTGTAGGCTATAATTCGCAGTTTACTTTTGAAGGTTAGATAGCTAAGTATCATTATAACCCATTGATATAAATGATAACAGAATATATTATTATGGTTGTGGTATTATGTTTCGTGTGTTTGATAATTCACCAATTACTCTTAAACAGCAAATATGATGTTCTAAAGAGTAGTGACAATCATGAAGGCTTTGTGTCAAAAAAGCCCTTATTAATTGCTATGTAATATGAATTAAGAATAAACTGTATTTCTTCAAGTGAATGTTTCTCTTAAATATATGTGGTACTGTGAAAATAGTAATCTCAAGAGTATTTATAGTAAATAGACCTTATTTGTACAAAATCTGCACCTGATCCAGAAGGATGATACCACTTAATACCTACACCTGTTGACCCTCGTAGAGGAGCATAGGCCGCTCACCAACATTCTCCATCCAACTCTGTCCTGGACAATTCTTTCCATTGGTTTCCAGTTGCTATTAACCCTTTAGTGTCTGCTTCCGATTCCGAAGGCAGTGTGTTCTTTGGCCTTCCACTTTCCCGGTTCTCATCAGGATCCCAAGCTAGTGCATGCCTGATGATGCAGTTTGATGATTTCCTCAATGTATTTCCCATCCACCTACGTCTTTTCCTAATTTTCGCTGTAGCTGGAAGCTGGTTTGTTCCCTCATGCAGCAGGTAGTTGCTGATGTTATCCAGTCACCGGACACTGAGTATCTTGAGTAGAAAATTGTTTAGAAATGCCTTTACCTTTTTGATGATGATTGTGGTGGTTTTCCAAGTTTCAGCTCCATACAGTAGAACGGTCATGACGTTCGTATTGAAGATTGTGACTTTGATATTGGTTGAAAGTTGTTTTGAGTTCCATATGTTCTTCAACTGTAGGAACACTGCCCATACTTTGCCAATCCTCGCCTTTACATCTGTATCATATCCTCCTCGCTCATCGACGATGCTTTCCAGATAAGTGAAACTTTCCACCTCTTCTACAGTTTCTCCACTAAGTGTGATTGCGTTTGTGTTCTCTGAGTTGTGTTTGAAGATGTTAATTTTTCCCTTGTGCTTATCATGACATGTATTTGCTCACATGTATGAGATAGATGAGCCGGGTCATCTTCGAAGAACAAATATTCTAATTGATTCCAAGCTGTCTATTGTGTTCCGCACTCCCAGTAAGATGTCGAGGTCTTCCTAAAATAGTCAGCCGCCAGAAGAAACAGGAAGTTAGAGAGTAGACAGCCTTGTCTGACTCTGGTCCTTACTTGGAATGCATCTTTCAGCTGTCCTCCATGCACTACTTTGCACTATAGTCCGTTGTATGAATTCCGGATGATATTGACGATCTCAGATACTCCATAGTGTCAAAGAAGTTCCATAACGTTCTCCTATCTACACTGTCAAATGCCTTTTCATAATCAATGAAGTTGATGTATAGTGATGAGTTCCACTCAACTGATTGTTCGACGATGATCCGTAGTGTTGCGATTCGGTCTGTGCACGATCGGTCCTTACGAAATCCAGCTTGTTGATCTTGAAGTTGGGCGTCTACTGTGTCTTTCATCCGGTTCAGCAACACTCTGTTAAAGACTTTCCCAGGTACTGACAGTGGTATGATGCCTCTGTAGTTTTCACATTTGCTCAGATCTCCTTTCTTTGTTATCTTGATAAGGTGTCCTTCTTTCCAGTCCATCGGCACTTGTTTCTCCTCCCAAATTTTCCTTAACAGAACGTGAAGTATACTTGCCGTTACTTCTATGTCTGACTTCAAAGCTTTGACTGATGCATTGTCTGGTCCTGATGCTTTCTCGCATCTGATGACCATCCTAATTCCTTCAATCGATATCAGCATATACATTCCTAAAATATAGGTTATTTTATTCATACTTATGTTAAGATTAAATTACAAAAAGAGAATATTAGAAGTTGATTACTTAGATCATTTTAGGTCAATCTTACACCCTATCTGTTACGATATGAGTCAATTAACTTTCTAGTGTTTATAGTCCGATCTCATATAAATAGTAACGAAACAGATTTGCTATTATCGTCAATATCCTAAAACAGAAAACTGTTTAGGTGAACTATTTAGTTTCCAAAAAAGTTTTCATTCACTACTGAGTATAAATTTATTTATAACTTGTTCACTTTAAAGCCATAATGTTGGCTTCAAAAATACGTAGCTTGAAATATCTACATAGATATTAATGAATTTATTTGAACTAATAAATTGTAATAGTTGAGATTATGAGTCAATTGAAACTTGACTATCATGAAAAACTTGAAAGCACTGGATAGCCGTTTCGTCCTACTGTAGGACTCCTCAGTAGTATACATCAAGTGACTCATGATCTCAACTATTAAAATTATTATAATATCCACAAAAGCCTCCTCTGATAACAAATTTTAACTATAGATTTTGTTTTACTATGTTATATTCTGTTATAAAACAGGAAAATAAACCATAGTCATAGTGAATTTTTATTTAATTAATAATTTTCTTACTAGATACATAGTTTTACTGATTTCTATGACAATGAAAATAATTGGAAAATGAACAAAACAGAAACAAATCAATTTTCGGAATTCAATCTTATTACTGAATCTTTTGAAGACAGTATTACTCCTAGTTTCGTCGTAAGTATTTTTTTGTTTTATAGAAATTATGACTACTGACAACTTATTCATGATACTTGATATATTTTGTTTTGAAGTAGTAAGTACATAATACTTCATCCATGTTTAAAACTTGTTGCCCTGGTATGGCCGAGAAAGGGTAGAGCTATTCATCCCTCTCAAAACGCTCTCATATGACCACGTGCATACAAACACTACTAGGGAAGTCATACTCACTGCTTTCTTATGGCATTGCTGTTGTTTACAAAATTGAGAGGACGATAATCGAATTCCCGGCACTTCAACCGGTTGGTGGATACAGAGGATCCACCCTGGGGGAGTTTGAAAACCCTGGTTACAGACCAATGGTGCACATGAGCTCCAGGATCCTGAAGCAACAAATGGCGTATGAACCAATAGTTGGTCACCGGCTACCATGGGACTGCATCTTCCGACATTGCTTTACTGCCTTGTGGATTAGACCTTTAGGTCGAAGGCTCTGGGTGTGGCCCATTAAGAAAACCACCTGCTTTTGGTTTGGGCACCCGGGCAGTACCTCAGCCCACACATAAACCGAATGATTTATGTCTCGTATATCTGTTTGGTACCTCATTGTACCAATGTCTATGTATTTAAATAAATAAATAAATTTGTAAACTTGAATATCTGGTTACTTCTCCGAATGGATTTTAAATTTTATTATTTATTTCTGTAGTATTATCACTGACTAGATTTTTAAAGTTTTGGATGGTCATCTTGAAGGATCCGTTTAGGTTTGACCAAGCTTATTTATACAAACTCAAGTTTATTAAGTCCTGAGAAATGATTTAAATTTGTGTAGATCATTATTACCACTAGTTGTGTTCAGTTTTCTTATATACTTGTATTGGAAAAATATAGGTTAGAATTTCGTTCGTTTAAAAGTATCTAACTGATTAGATTTATCTAAATCCCTTAAAAGATCTAATGTAAAGTTTAGATATTTGTAAGATAGGGGACCGCGAGATGATAGCAGCCGATGGTTAGAGACCCTGAATGACATGGCTCAAAATCGTTTGCAATGGCGCAGGTGCATCCACTCTCTGTGTTCTCCCAAACTCTAATCTTCTGAAGTCTTCATGTCCCTTTTTCCCTCTTTCCAAATTTCTTTCACTGGATTATACTCTTTAAATAACATCTCCAAACCCTAATCTTCCCGATTACTGCTTATACTCTTATTACCTCAACCACTACCGGATTTGAATCGACAACTGCATCTCTGTGCTAATGTGGTGTGGCAACTCGAACTATTGTACGTACGTACGAAGTTCTACGTTGTTACTGACTGACTGACTGATTTGTAAGATAATCTTATCATTAAAATTTTATTGATTTTAAAGGGAACAATTAATTTTCTTTAAAAATTTAGCTTAATAAATTCATCCAAAATGATGAACAAATTTGTCAACAATAAACTAAGTCCATAATATAAATAGATTGTAGCTAACAGTGAAATTCAAGATGTGCCTTTTGTCCTATTCGGGATTTGTTAACTGAATTCTCTGAACTATAGTAATTATTTTCACATTGGTACTCTAACCCATTAACTTTGATTCTAAAGACTAATGCGTTCTCCCCTGAGTTAATAAATCTAAATAACCGCTGACTTATTTAAGTGATATGATGATATCTCCTCATTTATGACAGTACTCTTAGTCCATTTTCATTTCGATTGTTCATGTGTGGTTTGTCATCTTGAAACAAATCACTGGTGAGCTAACTATAATTTTTTCATTGAAAGGTTTTTGTGGGGATAGATTTAATCTGTAGGTTGTGTGTTGCAGATTGAGTAGATACCGTTCATGAAATTTCATCTTCATACCAGCTCAACAAAATGTCGAGCATTAAAAATGAGTACTCTTGCATTTGACATCAAAGAGAGAGAGAGAGAAGAGTGAACAGTTCTTTAAATTCCCGAATGAAAACAAAATAATTAATCGTTGATTCTTAATAGTATTTCAGTTAATAATAGGTGATACTTCAAGTTTCAATAACTCAGTAAACCATATTTTGATTCAAATAATTGTTTTTTGAACAATTCTTGAAATAAATCTTCTTTTTATTTTTTTGTTCCACAGACAACATCAGATTGTCCAACATGCCGTCGACTTTTAGGGTGTAGTTCACGAGTTCATAGTCATCAAACTGACAGAAATCCTAAAGTGGATCAAATTGATAACAATGAAAATGATGACCAAGATGAAGATGAATACAATGAATCTGAAACAACAGGAATGACCAATGATTCTGGTAATGATGACGATGATGATGATGGGGAAGATAAGGATGACGATTTCGGGAAATATCTAGGTGAGAAAATTTCTGAGTCAAAGATTAAATCAACATTTAGACATATGCGTAAATTAGAAGAGTCTAAAGATAATGATGATAATGGTGATGTCGACAACAATACTGAGTATAATGAGTGTTTGTCAATATGCGCTTCTAGGCATGGGAAAAAATTAGATTTAAGACATACCCTTAATTTAGAAGATGATGATAGTAGAGGAGAAGATGAAGATCAGTTAAAAGAATCAACGACAGAAAACAAACTTGTTCATAATGAAAATAAAAAACAACTTCCTAATCTAAAAAATATGCCTGAAATACATAAAAACAAATTAAAAGCTGATGTTAAAGCTTTGAATCAAAAACTGCAAATAAGTAAAGATCATCTTATAAAACATAATGAACCAAAAAGTGAAAAGATTACAGAAGTACAAACTACTGATGAACTAGACGATATTGATGAAGACGATAATGATGATAGCAATGATGATGATGATGATGATGGTGGAAATAAAGATTATGAAGATGATATTGATGATGATCAAGATGATGAGGATGAAAAATTTGCAGATAATTACAGCGATGATAATGACAAACATGACACCACTAAAGTACTAAAACCAGGCTGCAAAAAATCTATTCAAGAGGGTCAACCATCAATAAATGAGAATACGAATAAGAAGCTGAGTAATGACGATGTTGAAGACTATGATTACGATGACAGCAATGATGGTAATGATAATGATGATGATACTAATGAAGTTGGTGACGATAATGAAAATGATAATCATGATGTAAACAGTCAATCAAATGATGATACATCTAAAGGAAAAGATTTTAAAATTGACCAGCATAAAAATATAAAAACAACAGTTGATCAATTTGAAGATGATGAATATGATGAAACTGATGATTTTGATCCAGATAATGATATTGAAGAAGAAAGTGAAGATGATCAACCAGAAGATTTAGATTTGGAAATATCACCTGAAGAAGGTTATGAAGATGTTGATGATCCTGATTACAGTGATTGGATAGAGGCTGATGAAGAATTAAATCCTAATTGGCCTGGTAAGCTTAGTCAAAATGTGGAATATGGAATGATAATAGTACTGATGATAGTTGTAGTAGATATATCCTAGTTTCCTTCCAAATTCATCTAGCATATATGTGCACGTTGATTATCTCTAATCTTCTCATTCTAAACGCTCATTTACTAACAAGTACTCAAGCAAACAATTAAACATGTACACAATTGTACATAAAATTTTCTAATTATCAGTGTTTTACAAACAAAGGATTGTGAATTCAACATGTAATGGGATGCATGCTGGTGAATTATAACAATTAGATTACCTTATTTATTACAGATGCTTTAAAACGTTGTTGATTTTTTTCAAAACAAGATTTCATCAAATGAGCTAAAAGTATATAGTGAGATTCTGATTGATAGAAACAAGCTTTCATAAAAAAATTTTCTTGCCTGTTTAGAATTCTTTCGCATAGAAATCTCTAAACAGTTCTTTATTTCTACCTTAGTATTGACAGTGTTTAACTGAATATGACATTTTCCACTGCATAGTTTGATTATTTAATACTGTATTACATTGATATTTAGATGGATATGCAATTTTTAGTCTAGTGAGTGCAAACCAAGAATGTATTTATATTTGCATATATGTATAGGTATATAACTAATTTAGTTAATCTAACCAAACACATTCTTATCATAGGAATATATCATAGGTACTGATCATTTTTCTTCCCTATATATATAATTTTGATTTATTCATGTCATTTGATGTTTACTTACTTAATTACTTACGCCTGTTACTCCTCGTGAAGGAGCATAGGCCGCTCACCAACATTCTCCATCGAACCCTGTTCTGGGCAATCCTTTCCATTTCCTTCCAGTTGTTATTCCATTTAATGTTTAACAGATAATATAATGCCATTAATTTTAATAATTTAAAGAACCCTCCGCTTGACATATATTTCAACTCCATAAAATAGCAATATGATAAGGAAATCTATTTAATAATAGATAATTTTGTATTGAACACTTAGAATAAATTTTAATTGGAAACTTTAAAATTGTATTGAGATGATCCTTATTTAGATTTTGGGCCTTATAATTATGTATGTGTTGTAAAGGAATAATGTTTACCAGAATACTACTTACCAATTGCCTTCAAATAATGTATCCGAAGCTAAATCTAGTGCTTAATGTCAAAGTATTTTATCTATTGATCTTGATCCATTCTTTAACCAATAAAATTCTCCATTACGTTGTGTGAAAACGTCTTTCTTCATGTACTAATTACATTTCCCAGTATTCATGATCATTAAAAAAAGTATTGAATTTATAGGTGTTTATATTCTCTCGTCGATATGAACGATTGAAATTGGCTAGTCACTTTTGACACATATGCATCCAAAGTCGATTATCTCGATATTCCCAGATATTTTCCCAAATATTTTAGTAAGGGTAAGTAGAAGCTAACAGCGAAATCAATGACGGGCGTTTCTTCATTTTTGAGACTCGTCCACTTGTGAATATTAGTATTGAGAGGCATGCACATTTAGATATCACAAACAAAACAAAATCCTTGTCCAGGATTCGAAAACTTGTCAATATCCAACTACAATGGTTAAATTAAACGACATACTATCCTTACATTTTATTCATTTGTATGCGTTTATTTAACTATATTTCCTAAATATCATATTTCTCTGATATATATTCAAATGATTTGGTTATTACATCATTGGTATAATTAAACTGCTAATTACAGTTAAAAAAGGTTAAACTTTTTAATAAATCATGATAGTTTTTATGCTAATTTTCTGTGTAATTTGAATCCAGGTGTAAGGAAATTAATGGCAGTTAAAACAACAACTCCTACTACTTCATCTAAATCCAAGTCTCACTCAGAAACGGCTACTGGACATACAAAGAATAAGAAAGTTCCATCAAAAACAGCAACACATGTAAAGACCATTTCTAAAACACCATCATCCAAATTATCTGAAAGTTCTAAAACAAAACAACCCAAGGACAAACCTTCTTCTAGTCATCATCAACAAAATCAACCAGACAAGTTAAAATCTTCCACATTAGCATCATCAAAGCATGCAGAAGATCATCACTCAAAGAAGGCAGTGCATAAAACTGTTCCGTCACAAGATAAATTAAAAACACCAGTTCCAACAAATAAAAACCCTAAACAATCTACACAAAAATCGAAACCAGTACGAATTATTGGAAATATAAACGATCATGACTGTGATGGTATACCAGATGATATTGATGAAGATATTGATAATGACGGTCTTTTGGACCGAACACAAGATTCCGATTGGGATGGATTATTGAATCATGTTGATGAAGACGATGATAATGATGGTATGAAAGTGTTTTCCGTTTTTTATTAAATTATTAAGCAGTTTTTGTCTTTCTAATTCTGACTTTTTATAAATATACCGTTGAGAAATTGATGAATGCGTAATCAAAACGTTCAACTTTTAAAGGTTAACTTAACATTTTCTTATCATTCTAAAAATCTCTTGGATTTAAAACATTTTACTGTTTACTTCCTTCACTAAAGGTATCCCTGATATTGAAGATGAAGATTCTAATGGTGATGGAATACCAGACTGCCGTTCTGATGTCTCTGACTTAAAACTAAAAGTAAGATATAAGAAGAAAATGCGTAAAGTTGACAGCGACTTCGACGGTGTTCCAGATGATGTTGACGGAGATGATGATAACGATGGTATTCCAGATATTATGGAAGATGAAGACAAAGATCAAATTCCTGATTTTTTAGGACTTACTCGTGCTGATTGTAAGTGAAGAGTGTTGATTATTTAAAACATTAATATGTGGAATTTTAATAAACAATGAGCTAGTATTCAAATAAAATCTTATTCCACCGTTACATAATCTTGAATTAAACGAATCCCTGACACAACCTTTATCATATTCATTAAACTTGCTATAAAACAATTCTAACTTATCAGAATGGGTTTTGTGGAGATTTTAGAAATTTCACAGATTGAAATCATGAGTCAGTTGAAGCTAGACCACCATTGAAAACCTGGAAGCACTGGACGGCCGTTTCGTCCTAGTATGGGACTCCTCAGCAGTGCGCATCCACGACCCCGCAGTAGGTCCTGGGTTTGAGCCCCGCGTAGACAACATTAATGTTCACAATAATTTTTAAATACGGGATTCGAAATTAGTCGATTTTATGCAAATCTGTTAACTAAGGCTACACAGCTTTGACTCACATTTTAATCTGGCGAAGGTTAGTAATGCCCAACCAATTTGACGGAGCAAGGATTAAAATATTTAACCCACTGATTGAAAGTCAAGTGCTTTTGGTCATAAAACCATAGCTGAGAAAGTAAATTCAACCATAGATATTGAATACATTCTCATGGGACTAATTCATTAACTGATATGGAGGATTCATGACCAAGTTTATCAAGTTGTATTAAACTGTAGACGAGGAAATTAATGGATTAATTCAGTTCACTATACGAATAAATAAACTTTTTGTCATCTTTAAACAATTTGAATTTTAATAAATTAACTTGAAAAGACTTCCCAATACAAATCATTGTTGTTTTTAAATTGAACAAAGGTCTACTTAGTCGACTATTATTGAGATCAGGGAGTGTAGTGTACACTTAAATGAATATACTACGGCATTGTGAATTATATAATGCTATACTAAGCTCGTTACTGTCAATTTAGTAGGCTCCAATTAGTCAGGTGATTCATTTAGTCACATTTAATACGGTACCATATTCTTAATCTTCAACATTTCGAGTGATAAAATTAAGAGGTTAATGTAAAAATTACTCATTGTTTTTCAAATGGCGAGAATTATTTAGGTACATAGTAATAAGGATAAATTTTATTAGAAATAACGAAGTTAAATACCGAAACAGTGGTCTACACTATGAAATTAATATATCATTATAATATTCTGGGTCTTTGTAGAGTTCAGCTTCTGGAAGGAATGAGTCTAACATTAAAGAATAACATTAAAGTAAATTTGTTTTACGTTTATCATTCACATCTATCCCTTTATTAATGATTTATTTTTTAACACCTTTGTCTTTTACACTCCTTAAACCTATTGTCCAGTAATATTAATAACTCTAAAAATGGCGTAATCAGCCCTTATTGTTTATAAATGATGGTTATGAAAGCCAATAATTTGTGCAATGATTTCCATTTTTAACAATTATGAACTATAGTGATCACGATATAACCAGTTTAGATTTAAGTTCGAATTGGGTTCCAGCCAGAGATAATTCAAATGAAAAAAGTTGTTCACCTAGACATATTGTGCTTATAAATAAACAAAAAGAGGACATTTCTAATATCCCAATATTAGAAAAAATTAAGTTTTCAAATTTCTCGAAGTTTCGTAACTCAATGTAAGCCACTTCTTTGGAGAGGTGTTCATGTCTCGGTGATATTTAATCGAATGATTAATTTTTCAACATTTATAATCTTATGCTCAAAACGTATCGTTACTGTAACAGCAAACTAATCACGGTTGTTTTTATATCAGCCTTTTGATTACATATGTATACTACAAAAACGTAATGCTAATTTACATATAATTCCGTTTTGCAATCATAATTACGGTTAGAATTTCAAATATCATTATCATTCTAGAATTAATTTTATTCATCTTTTTCAATGAGGATAAATTAACTTGGGTAGTTTATATCTGTTAAACCTGATCGACTTTTAAACACTATTTAGAGGTTCATATACAAACAAAATTTGAAAGAATAAGAGGTGAACAATTTAAAAGTATCAAACTAATAAAACTAGACATCGGATTAGTGTTTTTGGTTGCCAGCAGTCTGATTTCAGTTAGGTCGTTTGCTGCTTATTATCAAAATATACATGTCGCCAATCCTCGTATATAATCATCGACATAAATCGCATTAGTGAATAACCGAATTAAGTGAGTTAAATACGAGAATGGATTTTGAATACGTATATTTCGTACAATTGTTGATCTGAAAGTGAAACAAAACGAAGTGGCGTGCCGTGAAGGAGTGGCCGATTCGATTCAACCAAGAGTCAACTGATATTTATAGTCAGATAAAAATAAGTTACAGACATTTGAGTTAGGTAAGAAATGAACACACATACGATTATATAAAAAGTCAGGGTTGATAAGAGAATGTGACAAGGTCAAAATGTAGCTTAAGTAGAATAGATCAATTGGTTCGTCCAGAAGTTAGAATAACCTATGTGGGCTTGACATCCTACCAGTCCATACAAGTGTACTGTAATTATTCAGCCGAGATTTGATCATTATGTAATGCTAGTAGAGGAGCATGTACATTTTTGAAATTGCCTATCAGACTAAATACTAAAAAAACACTGGAAAATTGGATCTCTCAAATGATACATTATCTAATGAATCTCGTTGGGATCACGAACCTATCTAAGCTGGATAATCCTTAAAAATTCGAAAATACTGGAGAGCTGATTTATCTTAATGTGCAGTGGGCATCCATCTGACACCATGTTGAGTGTTCGGCAGGTACCTAACAAAGAAAGTGGGAGATGTCCACTCAAAATCACAAATTGGTTGACGTAGGACTTGTACAGTATTGGATCCTTGCCCAGAGGTCTAGAGGTTAAGCATATGTGTGCAAGACTAAAGATCGTGAACTGGATACCTGGTGACAGTGTCTTGATTGCTTACTACTAAGGAGTCGTATAATAGGACGGAACAGACATCTAGTGACTTCTAATCATTGTCTAACTTGGATCCGTTCTTGACCTCAGTAATATTCAACGGTCTCCATAATCCTCCTAATGTCTAATGAACAGTCCATAAAAACCGCAATTACAATGTAATTCTTATCAACTATGATTGGATTTCAAGGTTTCTAATAACTGTAAATTTATGGTATATTTGTGAAGATAAGAAGATATGCATGAAAAAGAAACTATATACTAATAGGTAGCTTTCTGATAATTTCCCAAAACATATAAACATATCATTAATATATGGATTTACAATAAGATTTATTAAAATAAATTCAGCCAATTTTTAAACATCCCCCTTACACGATTCAGTAGCTCTTAGTAACTATGCGAATTACACGTTAGGTGTACGAGGCATACAACTCTGGGTTTCAGTCACTTTGTAAACATAAACACTGGTGAACAAGTACATCTAGTTGACAAGTTCCAGATAAAATTGGACGCATATCTTGAATCCTACTTCTAGTCATTATCATACGTTACTGAAAAAATTTAACTAGTTATAATGGTTAGTCTTGTAGATAATTAGGTTTTTGGTTTTAACCTTATTGTTAGTTTTACAGTTTTTGGTTACCCTTTTTTTCATATACGGTTTACATAAATGATGATCGATAAAGTTATATTTCATATGGGATAAGACGAAAATAAACTTTAGTTCATATGCATAAATATCATTCTTTTGCACTTATGGTGTAGTATAATGTTGATGCAATAACACACAACTACACTTGAATACACATACCCATATATATATGTTATACAATTCATACCCTAGTTTAGTACTGAAAGTAGAACATATCCTACATTTTTTTAATATTGATATAATAGATGAATAGAAGTTGCAAATACATGTAAGCACTTAGCATATTTCACTAAATGACCTTGAATTAATATTTACTCATGATTGGCTGAAATCAAAAAGTGGGAAAAATAGTGACAGCTAAAACACCATGATTATGGTTTATTTTTATCTTGTCAATTGTTATACGTACATTTTAGAAAAAAAAATCGACAGTCAATTTTAAACAGAATATTTCCTCCAATAAAATACTGATTGGTCCTGGGTTCGAATCTCGCAGGGGGCGAGGTCGTGGATGCGCACTGCTGAGGATTCCCACAGTAGGACGAAACGGCCTTCCAGGGCTTCCAGGTTTTCCATGATGGTCTAGCTTCAAATGACTCATGATCTTAACCATTGAAATTACTATAATATCTACAAAACGCATCTGATATTTAAAAAAATACATTTTAGTAAAAAATATGTAATAATGAACCAAACGCTAAGGTGAAATTTTGATATTGGCAAAGAAAATAAAAAAACTGTACTCTCAGTTATCTAATAATTGCTGACTTAAAAATAGTATTAGAGATCGACAAAATAGATAACTGATATCAGTGTACTAAACAGTTTTTTGGTTGGTCAATGTAACTTTTGGTGATTTGGAAGAAAGAAGATGATAATCGTTAAACATACATAACCCAATGTTCACCTTCATGATTTTGGACAATCTAATAATATCAATAATTGTTTCAGTTAATCTGCTGCAGCAAACCATGAAAATGACACTATCTTTGGTTAATGAATAAGCTACTGTCAGGTAGATGAAATATTAGAAGTTTGTGAGATAGTGACTCACTGATAACAATGGTGGATGTGCCGTTCAATTTTGTTGCCAGCTCAGTGATCTAGTGGTTAAGTGCTCGCGCGTGAAACTGGTAGGTCCTGAGTTCGAATCTCACGGGGCGCGTTCATGGTTGCGCAATGCTGAGGGGTCCCACGATGGGCCGAAACGGCCGTCCAGTCCTTCCAAGTTTTCCATGGTGGTCTAATTTCAATTGACTCATGATATCAACAATTGGATGGTTAAGTTCAACTATTACGATGAACTTTGGCGGCCGATAAAATGACCTTGAGAAGATTTTCACTACTTCTAGCCAACCAAATAACAGTTGATTTGAATGTGTAATTTATAATGCAAAATCTGGTAAACCTCACAGTATACATTATTTTTACAAAGGTCATAAATATTTATGAATTCCCCATTAGTTCTTTTGTTCTAAATATGATAAAGAAAATCAACCATATAACTTCAAAATATCTTCACTAAGGAGCTTTTTTGTGTCTTAAATAGTTTTCTAAATAGATTCAACCTTTTATGTATATACTATGAAAAGAATCTAACTACCACTTATTTAACAACTATACTGTAGATTATTTCTGCACATCTCTCAGAGAAACTGTAGTTTTTGCTACCCAATCCACAACAAGAAACGTTGAATGGCAAAACATGTAATCGATTCTGACCTGTTTTTTATTTGGTAGTAGATATTACAATCAAATATCACATTATCTTGTACTTCCCAGCATTTAATTGAAAGCTTTCTTGTTAAGTGTATATCTAACAGAGTTGTTATCGTTCATTACTTTTGATTTACTTGTTATATTCCAAACAATTTGGAGCATTAAAGTAAAAAATTTTGAATTCACGTCTAGTATTCGTCACAGATTTATCTCAGTAGTGAATAGCTCCGTCACCTTAATAAAGGACTCCCGAGAAGTGAGCACCCAAGACCCTATCAGAGACTGAACTCAAAACCTCAGGGGGAACGCTTAACCATTAGAACTACTGAGTCAGAATCTGATGGCATAATTATAACTTTAATTAATTTGCGATATGCCCTAACGATTAATCAGTGCCATTAGTGACAATTGCTGCGATTCTGACATGCCTTAAATCTGAATTCTAGTGAGAAGTCATAATTTAAACTCTGTTTTTGCGTTTCAAATATGAATTCGTCATTTAGTGTCATTACATATATTGTAAATTACCTCTCAAACATAATGTCCTTCTTTTAATTTTTACGACTTCAAACATTATTTCCAGTTTTAAAGGGTGTCAGTACTAAAGAATTAAACAGACGAATGAATAAACGTGGTTGGTTTGATCATGACTGTGATGGTATTCCAGATAATCTCGATCCAGATGATGATAACGATGGGTATTTCGATTCAAAACAAGTAAGTTTTAATGAGACTCATGGTTTACATGCTTTTTTGTATGCTTCTGTTATAACGGAGCAAAATTGTATATTAGTCTATACGTATTCTAGACCTTCTGAATTTATGTAAATACAGCTGTTGAGCGGTGTTTTATCACAGAGATAGATTTATTGGCTTGTAGTCCTCAAAAAACAGATATCAAAAGTCACAACACTACGATCCAGCTGATGAACCTACTAAGTAAAACCCATATTTTCTCAACAATCAGGTTTTGGTAATAAGCTCAGTAATTAAAAATTCATGTCAACTCAAAAATATTCATTAGAATGACATAGAAACGTTAAAAGTTTGAGTGTAGTAGATAGTTCTTTTGCCCATGTTTGAAAATATTTCAACTCTATGACGTAAATCTAAGAAAGTATTCATAAAATTGTTTATCATCAGATCTAACAGTATACTGATCACCCTGAAAAAAAGTAACATTTCATATTCACTTAGAACTACTAAATGAAATTATTATTCATTCTTTATACATAACTTAGGGTCATTATAAATAAATTATTATATTTTTAACATACCAATGAATAGAAAAATAAGATTTTCGGATGTTTCGTAACTAAATGTCAGCCACTACTTCAGAGAATAAACATTGATTATTTATTCTCTGAAAAAATGGCTTAATTGTTAGATCTCTGTCAAGATCTTAAATAAACACAACTAAAATGTTCTACATTTTCAGATTAAAGGTCTGTTCAATATTAATTGACTTGCAATGGTATTTCAAATGAGGCCGATCTGTAATGAAAATCATCGAGCAGTTAGACCAAACACAACAGAATAACCCAACTATAAGAATTAATACAGATAATTTCTTATCACTTTTTTCTATGACTACATCGTTTATAATTGTTTAACACTATTTTCTGGTTGCTTAGCTAATCTCTACCTTTCATATCAGAAAAAATGTATGCTTAAATTTAGGAAATTTCCTTTCAAATCTAGAAATCATATAAGTAAAACAGAAATTTACTGATCATGATCTTCACTATGCGTTCAGATTATGTTGATCACTTAAAATGAAGGTGTATAAGGCTAATAGAAACAGCCAATAATTTAAAAGGAACATTAAAAAAATGCCTTAAGCAAGAGAACATGATAGTTCGCTTTGTGGCGTGGGCTACTGATGTCAATAGATATAAGTAGTATGTAGCATCAGTCGAAAGTGAAATGTATGGCGGCAGAAGGTTAAGAAAATTGAAGAGAACGAGAACAGAAAGTGATTGGTGTGGAAACGGAGAAACAATCAAGTCAGATACAATTGATTGACATTTTTCAAATGAAGTATTAACTGTATGGCTCTCAGATTTTACTAAGAGATTCTATAATTGGGTTCACATACATTCGATTGTCCCCACTTGTGTTCTCGTTCACTACACTTTTATCGTACTGGATTCTCATAAACTACTGGTTAAAAATTGTAATATTTTAAAAAATCAACATTCCACATAAAATTAGGTATATTTATAGAAATCCAATTAGTTAGTAAGTGATGTGAACACACAGAATAATGTAGTGAATATATAAAATGAAGTCACAAAGTGATCTTAGTTAGACCACCAGCAGCTAAGGAATCCTATACTAGGACGAAATAAGTGTCTTGTATTTCCAGGTTTTCAATGGTGGTCAACTGTGACTATTGTATGATGTACAAATCTCACCTAAAACATATCAATGAATACTGACAAATATAATATATGTATGTTTCATGTGTAATTTTTCATACCGTTACATCCACTTATTCAAATAAATAAATATCGAAATAATGTGAGGACGGAAACGACCATCTTTTTTCATGTGACACTTACTAATAGTTATTAATGTGATACCAATATATATCTTTAACAGAAACATTACAGTGAATATCTTAGCCAATTAACTAAATAATTTAAACAATGAAAGTACAAAATAAAAGGAACTAGATCTATTCGAATCTATTATCATTAATCTTATGGTTACGCCTATTACAATCATACTATTAAGATGTAGATCTTTTTTGTTTAAACTGTTTTTTCTTCCTGAAGAACAGAAAACTTAATTTTTTATTTTATGTGAATTAGTTAATCTATCATCACATAGTTGATTAGTTAGTTAACTAGGAAGAGAGAGAGAACTAAATGGATAGATAATTCGCTATTTATCTATTGATATACACAATCCTTTCCTATTTTTTTCCTGATTAGCAACTATAAATTTTTTAGTATAATCATTTGGGCATAATATGAATACATTATTGTATGTACACGTTCTTCCTGTTGAACCAGAGACAAATTATCACACACGACACTCATACACACACATACACACACAAACCCATATTTCTGATAACTAGAATACATTTATTATCATGGAATAGAATACATGGTATTATGTGTGTCGATTTGAAAACAGTTACGTTTTCATTCAATGTGATTATGTTCAATTCTGCTAAAGTGAAATTGTTTAAATCGGTAAAGTTCATCTGTCCATTACTTTCCCTGTCTTTAATCTGTTAGAACAAACAAACAAAAAATACATTTGAAATGAAAATTGATCATTTGATATATATAAGAGAAGTCTGATTAAATCCTTGTAATAGTTCATACTTCTTTTTAAAGATTAGACTTCAAAGACTAGTACTTTACCACTATGCAAAAATGTGTGTTTATCATGAAATCTCTGATTAGATTGGTAAAATGATACAGATTTATTTCGTGCTCCACTTGATTAATACAGAATACGATATACAACTAACGGCACTCGAACGTATAGAACCCTACAATAGTAAATCAAAAGACGGAAGAAAGCAGAAGTGATTGTTGGGTAATAATAAAAAATGTACGGAAAATACATGTATTTATAATTATTAGCGTTGATTAAATCAACATCAGTCAAACCGCAAAGAGGCAAGTTATGCCATCATCCTATCCTACGTTGATATCCTAGAAAGTTCCATCAGTTCCTGATTGGGTAGAAACTCTTCGGCACCTTTAGGACCCCTAAAGCTCGTCTTGCTTCTCGAAGGCCGCCCCAACAAGATTTATATCTTGAAAAAAGTTACAGTGTTTTCGTACAGATGTTAGACAAAAAACCATTATGAATTTTCCAGAAATTTCAACAACTCCTAACTGTCAACAAGACTGCTGTTCATATGACATGATTTATTTTGTAAACTACAGAATATTGTCAACTCTAATTTTCTTGGTCTCATGCATTCTTCAAGTAAATGAAATAACCAAGAACTTCTATTAAAACTACACCTCTTCAAATTACCAATCTTATTAAGAGTAGTGAAATATATAGAATGTAATTTTTAGCATATTTGTCAGCAACTGAAGTACCCTATGTAAGAATCAGAGGTGATTGGTGTACACGGTTCAAAACAGAATAAAATCAACATTGTGTGAAGCCTAGTAAGATTACATAGAATTTCCTACGTCCAGAACTCAAGTTGAAACTGAATCGAGTTGATTGAGTCTTGCAAATTAACAAAGAAATATAAGATGAATATAAATTTGATATGAAAAGAGAAGCTGTTCACAGTATCAGAATGTATAATATATAAATAGTAAAACACAAACATTTTATCCAAGATATGGTGACAGATTTTGAACTCATTTTGTATAGGACCTTTACTAACAACTAGTTTATTTTGAGTCGTCCGCTTAAGGCACGGAGTATCCGAATACACCATAGACCAATACTCACTCGTTTTATGAACTGATAACATGCCTCCTTAAGAGCTCTTCCAGGTTTATTTCGACACACTTGCTGCCCAACAAAGTATATTAGGATGTAAGGTCACTGGAACATGTGCAACGCATGTCACAGTGATTTCATTCATTGAGATTTCACAGTCTCATCAACCGACATATGATTTCTGCCTACCCCTAACTTTGATGGTACTCACTGAGTGGTTCCATCATCATGATTGAATACTAACAACCCACATTTAAAAAGTGGGTTTCACAGTATACTTGTTTTCTGACAGAAAAATAAATATCTCGAAAGCAATATAGACGATACAGGCTGATTAAAACCAGACTATTTTCTTGTGTCTATTCAAATATATAAATATGAAAAATCTAGTTAGAAATACATTTTTTCGTTCATCAAAAATCAATAACAAAAAACAGTAGCAACAAGAGTGTATTAAACCTCTTACTTCAAACATTGTTCTCTCTCCTATACACACACTATGATTTACAAACTAAAATGATGTCCAAACTGTACACAGCTGACATAATTCTCTTATAATTTCCCTCCTTTTTCTAACCTTTCTAATATTTCCTTATTTGGTTTTAATCCTGAACAAATCATATAGTTATTGTAAATGTGCCGGACACTGATCTTTATAAAGAATTGTTTCGTACATCAATTCTGTTTTCCCTCATGTTAATGACATAAACCAATATTGTCCTTAGAAATTATGTCATGTAATACCATCAGTAGTGACAACAAGAATGTCATTCAGCATACGAATGTGAATAGTGTGTTCTGCTTTTATTGATTACTTTGTTTTCGTCATTTATATCGATAAATTGAATAACATTCAGTTAGTCATAAGCAACTTAGAACGTGGTGAATTTATGTATCGATATAAATATTAATAGTAACGGTGTTAGTTGTAGTAGAAAAGATTAGGCATAGAAGATGTTATTTGAAAAGAAAATATGGCTTCTCGGAATAATAAAAGTTCTGGGATAGTTAAAAAAATCTAAGAGGTTATAAAGCGCATATGCGCGTGCGCAGTTGTGAATGATTCTGAATTATGTTACCGAAAATCTTCAACCACCGGTTACTGTAATTTGGTGTACCTAATCAGATGATTTGAAACTATCTACACGAATCAGTCCAACTGACGATGATGCCAGTGCCTGATGCCATATTTTGGTTTGGCTGCTTCTATCTTTCTTTCAACCTGCTTCTACACTAGCCATCAATTTCTATCATGGTGGGCTGTGGTCGGGCACACAAAATACGTGTACCGACATCATCAGTCTGATTCCCATTTTTATCTGTTACCCTTCATCTAACCTCAGCATTGCTATAGTCTGATGGTATCTATGATTAAACGATAGCAATCTAGTATTCTCCTGCATTTTTAAAGGCTAAGTATCACAGATATGGTGAAGTGCTAGAAAATACTTTTATTACCGAAAAATTCAAAATTGGTTAAATGCCTTGTTTGAAGATAACCAATCGTGAATAATATTGCATTATCTAGCATTTTCCCGCCCTTTTAGTTGATCACTACTGCATATAAGGACCTAATCTTCACGAAGGATTTCACCTTAATCATCTAAAGTCATCTATAGATGCCTTCTATGAAAAGGACGTTGTAATACGTGCTGAATCCTCAGATGGAAAAGCAAATAGCGTGATAGTTATGACTAGGTAACTGGCATAAAATAAGACATTTCAGTTATTCACAATTAATTAATTTAACTATGTGTTTAATGGATTCAATTGCAATAGTCAAAACTTGTTGAAAACTGGTTAATATGATTTTTCATAAATGAATGAATCAATCAGTGTTTAAGCATAAAATATATGATGATTCATCTGTGTTGTATATGACCTTATGTGTAATATACTTTTATGTTCAGGATAGTGATCGTGATGGTATGCTGAATGAATTCGATGATGACGATGATAATGATGGAATACCAGACAGTGAAGATCTTGATGCTAATGGAGACGGTATACCTGATTGTATTGTTAAGGTAAGAATGAATATGTAAACAATTCTATGTTATTTATAAGTGTTCATTACTGTATCTGAAAATGATGTCTGCTTTTAGAAGTGAACCTTAGCCCTTACATAACGTTCCTTATTACTTCATGTTTTGGTATACAAAGAGAGATAAGTTTAATAAACAACCAATTATTCCTTCCGTAATTTTTCTAAAATCAAACTGAAATCATTTACTGCAAAAAGTTTTATTTTATGGTAGTTTTTCCGATTGTATACAAATTTTTAAAGTAATAAATTATATCAGAAGGGGTTTTGTGGAGATTGTAGAAATTTCAGTAGTTGAGATCATGAGTCGGTAAAGTTAGAACACTATGGAAAATCAGCTCAGTGGTCTAGAGGTTAAGCATTCGCGCGCGAAACCGAAGGTTCTAGATCCGAGTTCCGCGAGCGGGATCACGGATGAGCAATACTGAGGATTCCCATACTTGGAGTTATTTTAAATGTTTTAGATGTATTCAAGCGAACAGATGATTAATAAAACGATAAGTTTAATAATTTTAAAACCTTAGGTATGGATATACCTGTTATCGCCATATTAAATACTAACGAAGAACAAATGGATAGTAACTACTAGGAATTATTTATGGACTGTTATTACATATATTCTTATTCATGTTATCATAAGCTTACTTTTTACCTACTGGCTATTATTATACGATTTACCATTATTAACTTATTCCCAATCGATTAGTTACAGTCTCTTATACTGACAGCCACCTTTGGCTTGATCTTGTATACTTGTTATTTTCTATTTTATGGTGTGATGAGGTCTGATTTACTTGTATATAGACCATGTATGTCTGAAATACATGATTCACACAGTGGAGGCTGAGACTGTTTTCTGGACTCAACGGGCAGGGCTAGGCGAGAAGGACCAAAAGCGATTCAGAGTTGACTACTCTAGGCTGTTCGTGCTGGTTAACGCATCATTGGTTTAGCACAAAAACAATGTCATATAAGTTGGTATTAGGATTGGCGATTTTCCCACATGATAATTAATAATGCAAAAGTCATAACACACAGAATACTTATTCTAGAAAGTTGCTACATATCTTTAAGCTGTCAAATTTAATTATACACATTTCATTATCCGTCTTTTCAAAATTGCCCAGATAAAAATACAAATGAAATTGATATTATGTTCATTCGACCTAATACACTAAATAATATGATTGTAAAAAATGCAGCCAACCTGTTGTAGATATTACTGTTATGAAGATAATTATAATTTAAACTGTTCGATAGAATACTATGGTAAAGTTTCTATTTACCTTTTTACTCAGATTCTTTAGTAAATTCTTACCATCGGACTAGTTAGTCAGATTTAATATAGATCAGCAAAATTCATTCACATTCACTTAACTAAATAGCGTTCTGGCATTTGAGCCTATGTCAATTTGTGATAAGAATTCTAACTCTAACTTTTAAAATTAATTTCTTGCACTAATTCAGATCTTTGTTATAAACCTAGTAAATAGTTGAAGTTTATCAAGATCACTTTATTTTTACTCAACGGTCGTCTGTAATTTATGTCTCACTGAAATTACTATTCTCCAATCAGATGAACTACCTCAATAATGTATATCTTTGATTTCACTGTCAGCCTTTGAATGAAAAACGTGTGATCAACGTACTGAACCACAATAACTTAGATGATATTTTGTAACCGCAGTCAGTTATTTAGATAATACTGTCGTTCTTCAGTTTTAAACCATAAACTGTGTTACAACTAATGGAATAATCTCTTTGCTCTAAACGATGTAGAGCGGGTTTCGAACTCTGTAGCTGAAAGCCAAGCAATTACTTTATTATTCCACACATCACACCCCAATATCGATAGTTCCATTAAAACATGACAATGACTAATTTAACTGAAATATTATTGACTTGTACATAAATGTTGGAATAGATGTAGTACACAAACCATCAAAATCATTTCAATCAATTCTATGCAGACGAAGAGATGTAATGACAAAAAAAGGAAAACCGAACATCATCTATAAAATCAATTGTTTCAACAGCAGAAAAACACTACATCGGACAAAGTGAACGACTCGATTTTCGCCTACAGGAACATCAATTAGCTGTCAAACACTATGACACATATCTTCGCTTATATCAATGCATGTGGACAATTGTGGACACATAGTCGACTGGGAAAATGTTGAGATCTTGGATAAAGGCAATGCTAAAAACGCCAGAAAATTTTTAGAAGCTTAGCAATCAGCAATCAACGAACACATTGAAATCGATCCAATTTATCAACCAATCAGAAAAAAAATTCTGGACAAATATAGGACCAAAAATCAAATCAATAATGAGATACAATCAAAATAAAAAAGTAATCAGTGATAGGTTAAAGGTCAACAATAACTAATGTAGAGATCAATACCAACAGGACAAGCTGTGAGCCATATGTGGGGAAATTGGAACACTTCACTTCTACTTGAAGTTTGTGCTGATGATGTTGTTCAGAATAACAATGAAAGCTCCACGACTAAACCATCTATTTCAGAGAACAAAACTCCATCAAAATCATACCACACCTGAGCTACAAATCTTCTCTACCATCATATAAATGTCTTAATCTATATATCTGCTAAAAAAATGAGTCATCTACAAACTATAGACACATATTTATTTCTATACAAATAGACCTACAACTGACATGTTGATTCATTACACTTTTTTTGGTCAATCAATCTTCTATTGAATGTGTCTTACAATTTCAAAAGTTGAAAATGAGCTGTATTGTCAATTTAAGAATAAAACAAACAAACAATCAGTAATTGGACTTATTTTATATTGAAAGTAGAACAATATGTAAAAAGAAAATAAATTAAGTTTGTAGTGTTATGACACTTCAACTGGAATTGTTTATTAAACGTTTTTCAATAGTTGAATTCATGAGTCACTTAAAGCTAGACTACCATGGAGAATCTAGAAGCATTGGAAGATTGTTTCATCCCAATATGGGGCTACTCAACAGTGTCCGTCCATGATTCCACCCACGGGGTTCGAACCCAGAAACCCTGGTCTCGCACGCGAGCGCCTAACCTCTAGACCACTGAGCCTTGACGGTGTTAATGTCTAACTTCAATCAATCCACGAAATTGCGTCAATATGGTGGCAGGTGGTTAATTGACTCATGAATTCAACTACTAAACTATTGCAATCTCTACAGAACCCCTTTTTGATCAACGTTTTTCACAATTAAATGTAAAAGGTTAATGAAAATATAATTAGTCATTCAGTAAATTATCAGAAGGGGTTTGGGGAGATTTTAGAAATTCCACAGATTGAAATCATGAGTCAGTTGAAGTTAGACCACCATGGAAAACCTGGAACCACAAACCCCTTCTGATAATAATCATCTGCTCACTAGTGACTGACTTCACGAGATACTCCTGGAGTTCTAGTGAGAAGCCGTTACCAGTGGAGTTCAACCAGGTCGGTTGTGAGATATCAACTCACTGAAGACAATAGTGTACGGTGGCGCAACTTCGTGGATTGGTTGAAGTTAGACATTAACACCGTTGAATGCCGGCTCAGTGGTCTATTGGTTAAGTGCTCGCACGCGAGACCAGTATGCCCTGGGTTCGAATCTCGCAAGGGGCGACGTCGTGGATGCGCACTGCTGAGGAGTCCCATACTAGGACGAAACGGCCGTCCAGTGCTTCCAGGTTTTCCATGGTGGTCTAGCCTCAATTGACTCATGATTTCATTCAGTAAATATTTACTTCTTAACTAGGATCTCTTCATTGTAGAAATTGAGTGTTTTTACAATTTTTAACTAAAGTTTAATATAATGGAAAGTAAGAAATACTACTTTAAGATTATTAAATATTAATGTGTAAAATAGTGAATTAGTTGTTCAAGGCATTGGTTATTAACTAGCAGTTTTCTAAACCTGGTTAATTTCCCTCTTAGGCAACGAAACAAAACCCCTAGTCCTTGTACATAAATATATAACTCAAGTCAGGTGCATAAAACTATATATTTTTGTTTATTAAATCGCACTGTACTCCTATGTTTGAACTGATAATGTGAAGTGGAAAGTTATAAATCTATTCATTTATTTGGTGATATATATAGATTATTATCAGTACCATTGATCATTAATTTTTATACCGAAATTTCGGTTAATATTTGGAGCTCATTTAATTTTGCTGTCAACGGTATAGTTGCTTGATACAAGTGAAATAATCATAATGGTAGCCTCTTAACAGAAGTTGTATGCAAAGTCCTATCATCTTCATTAGCTCATAGCTAGTTTAAAATGTTCACTTTAAACAACACACGAAACTAATTAAGCTAAAACCAATTGGGAACAAATACGTTCACAATGTTATCGATACCGTGAACCGGTCCAAGTCAGATACCTATTGACTTTCAGGAGGAACTGAATACTTAACTCATCTTAGTGCAAGACGCCTCAACATTACTCATCCGGATATCGGGATATTCAGTCTTGCGTGCGAACGCTCAATTTATAGACAATTGGATGTCTTACATAGATCAGTTTGTGATAGGAATAACATTCAATTACCAACAAAACTCTAAGCATTTACGATATCTTTAGAAACTTAGAACATTAAAATGTTCGGAAATTAGATATGGAAAAACCTATCTAACTGTGGTATAAATGAAAAATATTTGGTGTGGTGAATTTCGGAAGACGAAAACACAAGTTCAAACTCGTTAATAATAATTAGCGAAATAGTAGATAAGTGTTCGGAATCAATTATCCTTAACATCCAGTATGCTGTAATTCAGTGTACGTATTGATATCAAAATGCTATATAGATATATATTTATTATTTCCTTTCTTACCTATTTGTTTTGAAGTCAGTTAAGTCATCCTATAACTAGTTTTCCGAAGAGATGTTAACTATCAAAGGTATATTAAGCACAATGACTTATCGAATTGAACTAAATCTAATGATTTTTGATAGTTGAAGGTAGTCAACAAAAGCCCTATGTTTAGATTTTATAAAGTGTATCTGTAATCTTTAAAGAACTCAAGCTTCCTGACGGATTCAAACCTAGATTGCCTAGGTTCACATTCAGAGAAATTATCATTCAGTCCTCAAACTAACTTCTTGCAAGATCAATTTGTTAAATTTATTGATGTTATGTTTAAAGCGATTACGAGTTCACCTAATCTGAGAACGGAACAATGACTATGTGACCAAAAACCAATAAAATAGCTATTCTGACGCGTCCCAGCCCCGCTGACTAGAGAGAGAAGTTCAAGTTCGAAATGAAGAAATATATTCCGCAAACAGTCAGAAGTACAAACAGTAACAACAGACACAAATCAAATGTATATATGCAGCATGAAATTATCCTTGGGAATAGCAATCTAAAAGATACAACGAACCAATAGCGTTTAAGATCCTCCCAAGTAGGAAATACGATACGAAGGTGAAAATGAGCGCTTTTGGCGCGAAAACAAGAAATTCAAATTTGCAAAATAAAATTACAAAAACAAAGTATTTACTAAGTGAGTTCTGGGTATCTAACATCCCCAACAATTGATGACTTTGTAGTGACCATAACAAATTAACCATATGGTGAAAATATTCATTAATGAGAAACTAATCAGTTTGTTAGTTTCAAATTGCTTTTATTCGTCGATTTACATTCTTTCTGTGTTTTTCTTTCTTCTTCTTCTTCTTCTACTACTACTACTACTACTACTACTACTACTACTTACTACTTACTACAACGTGTACTTATCAATTTTTTAACTTGTCTCATGTCACGATTTTTTTATTACTTTATGACAGGTACATTTTTATCTTATCCACTTAAATGACTTGTCAGGTTTTTAATTAAATTAGTACTAAATTTTCTTTATTGGTAAACATGTGCTGACATTGTTGTCTAGCTGGATTATAACCATGTTAACTCATTGAAAATGAGTGATTAGTACAAGTTTAAATATTTTACAAATTATTTACAATGTCGTCTTCTTTTTTTACTTTTACATTCCTTTATTTTAAACAGGATTCAGATGGTGATCATATTCCTGACCATATTGACACAGATGATGATAATGATGGTATACCGGATTTACAAGATCCAGATCATCCCAATTTCGATTACTTACGTGATTCGGATAAGGTAAGTTATTTACAATAATAATAGCTATATTACTATTTGAGTTGATAATATAACATTCGATAAATAGTACGTTACTTAACGGGCAGCGGATGGTAACTAAGCCGCGTTGTATCAAGTAACTTTAGGGAGCGATGCTTCAATAACTAAGATATGTTTCAGCGCAACAAAAAGTGTGAATAAGGTATATGAGAGCTTAGTTTGTACAAGTTGATATTTAAAAATTCTGAACGTTAACAAAATAGTTTGGTAAAATATGTGCATATGCAGTCGGCGGACAATCAGGAAAAGCATAGGAAATATGATCTCACCGGTTATAATTAAATATCGATGCGAAACCAAACCTTCTGAGATATACGGCTAGAATCACATGAATTTCTGATTCACTGTCGGTATGCTTTTAGTTAATCCCAGATTTACATCATTTATGAGAATTTACTAGCTAAATAAGAATAACTTTTTGTTTGATACCGGAATTTCCAATTGTTTTATACAGATTGACTGGACGGTAGCAGCTTATTAGTTCAGATAAAGTTATCCAGTTCATCTTATTCAGTACAGTAAATGAGAAATAACACAACTACTCACAGCAGGTCATGATTACACACCGATGAATAAAAACATGCACATGGTATCTATTGACTTCGGTTAAAATAAACTTAAAAACTGAGTTTTCGTTTGTAAGTATTTGTATTAACCTATTATCGATAGTCAAAACTGAACTAGATCAGCTTCTGATGAGACGTAGGCTCGTTGAGCGAATGTTTTAAATTTGGCTATAGCCGCTAGTTAATTACAATGTCGAATAGTAGCTAATAGTGGAATCTGGAAAGCGTTTTTTTATTATTTCGGACCAGGCTGAAGGATGCACGTGGTTCCTAGTGCTGATATTCACACTGACACTGAAAAATACTACCCACTGCATTAAAAGCCTTATGCATTATCCATTGGCTCTTTCGATCACCACGGTAATATTGTACATGATTTTTATTATAGTTTCGTTAATATTTAAAGGTCTATGGTGTTGTTGAGCACTATAACTGATCAGTTTACTTTGAAATATGTTTATCCAGAGCATTCAACTTTACTCTGTAACTTAATTTAAGATTAATATAAATTTTCTAAAGTAATTTTCCTAAAAATTTCACTTTTTGTATTTTAAGTATGGGGATTTGTGGAGATTGTAGTATTCTCAAAGTTAAATTCACAAGTCGATCTGAGCTAGACCACTACCGAAAATCTGTAAGCTCTGGACGGAAACTTCGTCCTAGTATGGAACTCCTCAGCAGTGCGCATCTACGATCCCGCATGCATAACTCGAAAACAGGACGTTCGGTTTCGGGCATGAATTCTTCACATCTAGACCTCTGAGCCAGCATCCGACGGTGTTAATGTTTAACTTCAGTAGATCTTGCACACCTATTCATTTATTGCCTGAAGCGCGTGACTCTCTTATATCTGACGCAGACTGAATTCCAATGGATGAGCACTACTGAGGAGTCCCATACTAGGACTAAAAGGGCCATCCAATGTTTCTAGGTTTTTAATGGTGGTTTAGCTTAGATGGACTCATGAATTAAACTTTGAAAATATTCATTTATCTAAACATAATTGTTTTCCATTGTCCCCATCTTAACTGAAATTATTGTAGACCAATGAAAAAAATCCACGTTGACTTACATGTTCTGTATCAATTGGTCAGTACAATGTTACAATGACATTACAATTTAACAATGAAAATTTATACTCCCCACTAAGTTTGTTGAAATGAAACATAAGAAAACAATAATAAAATTATTTTCACCTTGTTTACACCCATAATAACATAATTCTATTCAATAAGCCTTCAACTGGTGAATAAAATCAAGTATATTCCGTATAAAATATTTTCTGAAACTCCATATATAGTCTCTTTGTTTATTTTCTTTATTCTTCTTACATTGATTAGCAATGTTCTCGGATGTGATGATTGTTTTAGTTTTCAATAATAATCGTCTTCTCAAAGCGCACCAGGTTTCGATACCGATCCTCATAGATTATTACCAAACCTATATGACTAGAGGTAATAATATAAAGACCTATCAATGAGAAAATATTTATACATCACAAAAAAATATTACTAGAAAGGTTAGCGTTATGAATTTGTTCGGTAATCTTCCATCTTGAAAGACATCTTTAATGCTGAAGCACTACTTGTAAGATGAAATGCACAAGTCTGGAAGTTCAGATACATTGGAAATACTACTGATGATACAGTAATACCATAGTGATAATGTTAAATTCGTTAAACCAGACGGTTTTATTGTTAAAAGTGAAGTTTCTCTTTAAAATATACAATACAGTAGCAAACAATCAATAAAATTACTAACAATTTAAGTTTCTTTTCGTAGCTAAGAATGGAGCTTCAGAAAGTTATTTAAAATTCGCTAGATTTCTTAGAAGCAGTATGTTAGTAATAGGATGACAAATACATTGTCTATATTACTGGTTACATACAATGTCATACAGTTATGCATCAAAATTGGTATGATTTTAATGACTGAAGAACTTTATACAGAATAAATAGAATGTGGCTAGCGGTATAATACAAGTTACGTGTTGCTGTCTATTTAGAACACTTTAGCAAGTTCTTGTAAATAACATTTAGTTTTCAATGGTTTACTTGTTGTCCATTCATGCTGTAAACTATTTTTAAACATCACAGTGAGAATTTATTAGTATAGGTTTTTGAAGATTGCTGAGTTTTGATTAAGATAAGAATCGATCAATGTTAGACCAGCATTGAATACGTGAATATGTTCAACGGCCATTTCGTCCCAGTATGGGACTCCTCAGCAGTGAGCGTTCACGGCTGTCCATAGCTTCCAGGTTTTCAACGGTGGTCTAACATTGGTTGGTTCATGATCTCAATCAAAACTCAACAATATCCAGAAACTTATACTGATAATTATCATGTGCTCACTAGTGACCAGCTTCGACATGTGATTCTCAGAGTTCTAATGAAAAGCTGTGACCAGTGGAGCTAATCTGTGTCGGGTCTGAGATAGTTACTCGCCGAAGACAATCAAAGGTGGTGGCTCAATATCGTGGATCAACTGAGGTTATACACTAAAACCATTAGGTGCCGGCCCAGTGGTTTACAGGTTGGGCGATCGTGTGCGAGACTGGAGAACCTAGGTTCGATTCCCGCATGCGGGATCGTGCATGCACACTGATGAGTAGTCCCGTACTTACTTACGCCTGTTACTCCTCGTGAAGGGGCATAGGTCGCTCACCAGCATTCTACATTCAACCCTGTCCTAGGCAATCCTTTCCAGCTCTTTCCAGTTGTAATTCATCTTTTCATATCTGCTTCTATTATCGACGTAATGTGTTCTTTGTCCTTCCTCTTTTCCGATTCCCTTCAGGATTCCAAGTTAGGGCTTGCCTCGTGATGCAGTTTGATGATTTGCGTAATGTATGTCCTATCCATTTCCATCGTCTTTTCCTAATTTCCTCCTCAGCTGGAAGCTGGTTTGTTCTCTCCCACAGAAGGCTGTTGCTGATGGTATCCGGCCAATGGATGTTGAGTATCTTGCGTAGACAACTATTTATAAATACTTGTACCTTCTTGATGGTGGTTGTTGTAGTTCTCCAGATTTCAGCTCCGTACAGTAGAACTGACTGCCTTGACGTTGGTATTGAAGATTGTGACTTTGATATTGGTTGAAAGTTGTTTTGAGTTCAATATGTTCTTCCATTGTAGGAATGCGACCCTTGCTTTGCCAATCCTCGCCTTTACGTCTGCATCTGAACCTCCTTGTTCATCTATGGTGCTTCCCAGGTATGTGAAAGATTCCACACCTTCTAGAGTTTCGCCATCAAGTGTGATTGGATGTGTTCTCCGCTTTGAATTTGAGGACCTTGGTTTTCCCTTTGTGTATGCTGAGGCCTACTGATGCAGAGACTGCTGCTACACTGGCTGTCTTTGTCTGCATTTGTTCGTGTGTATGCGACAGGAGGGATAGGTCATCTGCGAAGTCCAAATCATCTAATTGGTTCTGAGCTGTCCATTGTATTCCGTGTTTTCCCTCAGATATCAAGGTCTTCATAATCCAGTCGACCACCAGAAGAAAGAGGAAGGGAGAGAGTAGACAGCCTTGTCTGACTCTGGTCCTTACTTGGAATGCATCTTTCAGCTGTCCTCCATGCACTACTTTGCACTGTAGTCTGTTGTATGAATTCCGGATGATATTGACAATCTTCTCAGGAACTCCGTAGTGTCGAAGAAGTTTCCATAATGTTCTCCTATCTACACTGTCAAATGCCTTTTCATAATCAATGAAGTTGATGTATAGTGACGAGTTCCACTCAACTGATTGTTCGACGATGATCCGTAGTGTTGCAATTTGGTCTGTGCACGACCGATCCTTATGGAATCCAGCTTGTTGATCTCGAAGTTGGGCGTCTACTGCATCTTTCATCCGGTTCAGCAACATCTGTTAAAGACTTTCCCAGGTACTGACAGTAGTGTAATGCCTCTGTAGTTTTCACATTTGCTCAGATCTCCTTTCTTTGGAATCTTGACGAGGTGTCCTTCTTTCCAGTCCATCGGCACTTGTTCCTCCTCCCAAATCTTTTTGAATAGAAGGTAAAGCATGCTTGTGGTTAATTCGATGTCTGATTTCAGTGCTTCAGCTGGTATGTTGTCGGGTCCTGCTGCTTTCCCGCTCTTGATTTGTCTGATGGCCATTCTAATTTCTTCCGTAGTTGGTGGATTGACATCTATAGGAAGATCTGTGTGCGCTGCTTCGATGTCCGGTGGATTCATTGGAGCCGGCCTATTCAGGAGTTCCTCGAAGTATTCTACCCATCTGTTACGCTGTTGTTGAATTTCAGTGATTGGCTTGCCTTCTTTGTCTTTGACCGGCCTCTCTGGTTTACTGTATTTCCCTGCTGGTTTCTTCGTTGTATCGTAAAGTTGTTTCATATTTCCTTCCCTTGCAGCCTTTTCCGCCGTCGTTGCTAGTTATTGCATGTATTTCTACTTGTCGGCTCTAATGCTCTTCATCACTTGCTTGTTTGCTTCAATATACTCAGCTTCTGCTTGGACTTTCTCTGCTTGTGTTCGACTGTTGTTGACTTCTTTCTTCTTGTTCTTCCTTTCTTTGATCCTGTCCAGTGTTTCTATAGAGATCCATTCCTTATGATGATGCTTCTTTAGGCCCAGAAACCCTTGAAATGTTGAAGTTAATGCTTCTTTGATACTCTTCCAACTGTCCTCCACAGTAGTTTCTTCTTTCAGTTGATCTTTTAAGGTTTGGAACCTGTTGTTGAGAGCTATCTTGAATTCGTTGATTTTGTTAGTATCTCGAAGGAAGGCTATATTGAACCTTTGTAGTGCTGTTTGTCCAGTTGTCCAGTTTCTCTTTAGCCTCAGTTTTAAATTGGCCACAACTAGGTGATGATCTGAAGCTATATCAGCTCCTCTCCTGGTTCTCACATCCTCCATTGTCCTTCGGAATTTTTTATTGAAACAAATATGATCTATCTGGTTCTCCGTAGTGTGGTCCAGTGAGATCCATGTAGCCTTGTGTATACGCTTGTGTGGAAATATTGTGCCTCCTATGACCAATTTGTTGAATGCACACAAATTTGCAAATCTTTCTCCATTTTCGTTTCTCTCACCCAGTCCATGTCGTCCCATGATATCTTCATATCCGGTGTTGTCTATTCCGACTTTGGCGTTTAGATCTCCCATCAGAATGATGAGGTCCTTTCTTGGGCACTTTTCTTTGATTTATTGCAGCCTCTTATAGAATTGATCTTTAATGTCGTTGTTGCTATCATTGGTGGGTGCATAACATTGGATAATATTCATTGTGATCCCTACCTTCTTTGTTTCGAATGATGCTTTGATGATTCTGGATCCGTGAGATTCCCATCTTACAAGTGCACTTCATGCTACTTTGGACAGCATTAGAGCAATTCCCTGAGTGTGTGGAGCATTGTCCTCTTCGTGACCGGAGTAAAGCAGCATCTCTCCCGCATTTAGCCTTTGTTGTCTAGCTTGGGTCAAATGGGTTTCGCTGATTCTCAGTACCGCTAAGTTGTATCTCCTCATTTCCGTTGCTATTTGACTGATCTTCCCGGTCTCCCATATTGTTCGGACGTTCCATATACCTATAAAAATTGTTGCTCTGGTTGTTAGAAGGGGCATCGGCCTCGTGGCTTCCGAAGGAACTCGGCTCATACCATGAGACGTCATAGTTCTTCTAAATGAAGACCTTCTAACTCCCAGGGCAGAGTTTAAATGGTTTGAATTATTTTTTCTGGTGAGCATTTTTCAGCGAGTTAGTCTTCTACAGGATGGGGTAGCTAACCCCATGCCTAACCCTCCTCCTTTACCCGAGCTTGGGACCGGCAGTAACTCTAGTACGGCCGTCCTGTGCTTCCTGGTTTTCAGTGGTGATCTAACACTGATCGATTCATGATTTCAATCAAAATTTATTATATTATGTAAAATCACACTGTATTTATAAAATATAAAAACAGTACATCAAATATACTATTTACCGATCTTTCTTGAGTTACCCCTTGAAAATTTCGTCGTTCTTTCATTCCTGTTGTCAATCTGATTACTTCCTTCTTTCCTTTCTCTTCTTTTCATTTTCCTCTTCTGTCTGTATAATTCCACTTTGAATTCCCGATACATACTACTTATATCTGTTTCATACGAGTACCATATATCACACTATTAGACTACTCTTAGTAAATTTATTTTGTACAAGTTGAATGATTAATTACAAGTTGTACCGATGGCAAGTAATAACAGAAAACGAGAGTGAATCGTTGATGAACTCAATGCAATCTAACTAGTTTCTTTTTAAAAATTGCATAACCAAGTGTCAGATACCAGTGGTAATTATATCGTCTTTAATCGATTATTTCGTTTTATGCATATTAGATTAATTGATTAGGTAATGTATGACATAACAATTGATGAATGCTAAATACAAGGATAACTATTCTATATTATTTCATATATAACTAACGTGAAATTCTGTTTAACATCAGATAATGAATTCAAATCTTATATTTAACCAAAGAATATAATGTGTTATTCTTACATAGAAACATTATGCGTTAACGTTACACTCTTATTTCTCTCTTAATAAATAAACTAATGATGAAAACTGACATTCTAATTGAGAAAAAATATTCACTTACTTCAATAAATAATGATCATATGATCACTGGTAACTAGCATCAAAAAGAATTTCGCATAATTCTAGTGCGAAGCCATGACCGATGGGATTAACCAACTTGTAGGCTAAACAGGAGCCTTGTATATAATATGAATGTAGATCAATTTATATCATATCACTAATTAGAGTTAAAAATATGAGCAAATGAAATTTTTATTCACTCATCTAATATAGTAACATGTTAATTACAAGACTTGAAAGTGATGAGTTGAATCTAATATAAGTGGACTTTTGAAGAGATTATAAGTATATAGGGATTGACAACATTATCGTACAAAAATCTCTTCTTATAAAAGTATCCCCCAATGAATCAAACCAGAATTTAAAGGTGAAGGGATGTGATGATATATTTGAATCCATGTCAGTGGATTGAAATATGTGCAATCTAGACTGATTAGTTATCATAAGAGATGCTCAACATTTTGTATCCAAACATAGTTTAGCGTAGTTATATAACAGAGTGCATTCAGCTTAGAACAGGTCTAGTAAAACTAATGAGGCCAATATCGTTTTCGAAGGCTTACAAAACCATTTATTTTGGGATTTTTTTTACCACTGAATGGTCTTGTACATTGACAGTGGATTCCAAAGCCGGATAAGAAAGCTATTTATTCCTTCCTAGTTTATAACAATTCATTGATGATGAGAATGCCTTCAAACATATTAGTAATGAAAAGAAAAGGATACCAAACAACAACCATTTCCTTTCGTAATTCATCTTTTTCTAAAATTTCTATAGGATGGTATTCCTGATACACTAGACATGGATGATGATAATGATGGTATACCAGATAGCATGGATTTTGATTCAGATGGTGATGGATCGGATGATCTGTTTCAAGATATTGACAAAGATGGGGTACCGGATAGTGTAGATGATGATATGAATAATGATGGAATACCGGATCATAAACAAGATCATGATTGTGATGGAATCCCAGATATTGTTGACCCTGATGATGATAACGATGGTTATTTTGACACAAAACAGGTAAGTAAAATTACCTTTCTTTAAAAAGGGAAATTAATGAATTTTCTAAAATTCTATAAGAATTCAAGGAATTACAAACAACGTGATTATCAGTATTGATGATAAATTGCATATTCCATGCATATATTTACATATCAATGAATTTAATGTATTGTTTTAATGCTTTGAAAACACACTACTCAAAGTCAAGTTTTGTTAACAACCCAATATTGAATTTTTATTCATGATATTGCGTATTGTCAGTAATGCATACAAGTCATTCATTCATAGACAGTGTAGAACCCGACTTGATTCAATTTGCTACACCATAAACGTACACACAAATAAAATGATCAAATCACCTTCCGAAGTAGCAAAAGTGTCAACAGAAGTAGAAAAGATTAGGAGTAAATGATATGGTCCAAGTATAATCAATGATTTTGTGAAATAAGTAGTGCAATTTAATAAATCAAGATTGAAGTGAAGATAGGAATCGGTCGTATATCTTCCATTATGACAGATTCTAGGACATGTTACAACAACATCACTAACCGTTGGTTATCGGAATCATGCGAACCCCAACTAAGTAGTCTGTACCTACCAATATGAATTAGTTTAACAAAAAATAACTTCATAGACTGACATCAAGTTTTGGTTTGAGTGATCTTAGCTTCCTTTCAATCCACTAGTCCCACCCCAGAAAACATCGTGCATTAAGGTAAGGAGTAATTGAGCAAACGTATTGTATATAAAATAAACCTCCAAATAGATATACCTAAACGCATTATAATAATTATTTTCATGTATATGAAACAACTGAAATATACTTCATATTATTTAAATTCTGAAAGACGATACTAATGATCTAAACATTCTTCAATATTTCACAATTGTATAATAACATTTTTTTGAATGCATTTCAGTCTAGAATGAAAAAGACACTCTATGCACCTTTGTATTTAAATAGACAGACAGATAAAAACTTTGAAAAGATGTGAGTTGGAGAATAAAATACTGATTATTAGTCCACAATGGGATAAAAAAATGTTACATGTATTCTTAGTTACATTTTCTCGTGTACTTTTATTTATGCAGAAAAAATGTATGCACACAAATGAAATGACTGACGGTGTAAATAAAAAAATTCTTTGACAGTCTTTCACTTGTACGAAATCAGTTTGTTCCGTTATTCCATTCATTGATCTGGGGTAGTTTAACATTTAGATTAATAATACTGGTATGGTTTTCTTAGTCTAGAATAAGGGATACTAGTGGAAATGCCATATGTTATGTCTAAAAAAAACTAGCTCATGGTTGTATATTATGTGAAATACCAAAATTCTATTATAGAATCAACTTTTCTTACCTTTCTGTTTGTTTTTAACTATACATTTTTTTTACATTAAAACTATTTTTGAAAGTACCTTAAATGCATTGTAAATCCAACTGGCGAAATATTTTGTATAATAATATGAACTACTGATACGATTATCAACAGTATAAAACTAAACACAAAACTGTCAGATGAAGAGGTTGAGACTAAAGATAACATAATGTTCATAATCTGGGTTTGTTCAATGAGTTTTACTTTTTTTATGGTACACAAATAACTAGTCTTCAGCATGAAAACAAAATCTAATGTAGTTTATGGCTGTGCATCGCATTCAGACGTAACTCGTCACCCAACGAAGAGTCATTTGAAATCTAAGAGGTAGAAACTTCACTGCATTATTTCTGGGTAGGATGACAAGATCTCATGTTCCTTAGTATTACTTTCAAATAACTAATCCACAATAACGCGAAGAAAATTCTTCTCAAAGAGTCAATAAACACACACGGTCATTTGTCTCTCAATATGTACTAACCTTATTTCGAACCGCCTTGTAAATTTATTAAATGTTTACTGATTGTAAATCCTAGCCTTGTTTTTCTGAATACGGATTACTTTCTGGTCAATCTCTTCAGATTTTAAAATTAATGCTGTAGTCTTTGGTTTATTCTGTTGATTTGGTCCGTCTGAAGTATTTTTTTGTAACATCTCACATTTCGATTTCTGCTTTCACATCACTGATTACCACTGGATCGTCAATGTTCTAATCAGTTGATGATACAAACTAATGCTAAATAAGCTCTCATTGGAGTCAGATTTTACTGCTAAAAACATAACCATCGACATTTTTCCCATCAAGTCTCGTTTCTAGTGTAATCACTTAGTTAGGTTACAGAATAACTGAGACGTTTAGAACCAAACTAATAATACGCAAATGATATCAATCTAAATATTTAAAAACGAGTCCGATCAATCTAAATTCAGTAAATTGATCTGTACTGGTGGCGGAAACAACTAGACAGTTAGTTCCGAAACACTTACTCAAAACAATTAAAAGAATTTAAAATTGTATCTGTGATAAAAGATAATGAGTGATTGGATCAATATGTAACAGATATATATGGATGAATGAATGAAATTCCATCAAACTCTAATGTCCCAGTAAAAGCAACAATAAACAGAAGTCTTTAACTGATGAACAGGTATTTGGAGATGCAAGAAGGAGTTACCAAAAAGGTATTTTTGTAAAATAAATAAACATAAGCATTCAGATATCATATTTAAGGTTAAAATAAACATGTCAGTAAGCTTATATCAAAGATAACCGAATATCAATAATTAATTGGACCAGTGGTTTGAATGAAGAGTACGTACGGCGCAAAACCAAAAGATTCTGGATCTAATCTCCGGTAGGATCAAGGGTACTTTAAAAAATAGGTGTTCGGTGATCCTTAATTTTTACTGATTGAAGATAAATTCAGTTTGTGGTGCAAACAATCTCTACAAACCTCTAATTCTAGTAACAATTAGTTACTGAAGTTCAGTCCTGAATATTAGTTTATTATCTTATATGTTTATTGATAAGGAATTGAGTTATCCTGTCGTTGATATTTTAATCTTTCTCTATTCGCATACGAACATCATATGAGGATGGCCTTAACACAGTTGTTGCCTCACATGCAGTTTTAGAACAGATGAACTGTATCTAGTAATGGAATTTTGCTCGGTTCTGCACTTATGAGACTGATGTGACTGCATTATTATGTTATTGTTCAAAATAGTAATTCAACTAGGTTTCTTTTGATTCAAGTGCTAATCCATTATCTATTAAAATAATGAGTTCAGAAAGCTAGAAACTTCCTCACCAAGTACGATTTCTGTAATAATTATTAGTTAGGATCAGTATGGGGATTTGTGGAGATTGTAGTATTTTCAGAGTTTAATTCACGAGTCGATCATTAGGAATCATGGATGAGTACTTATGAGGAGTTCTATATTAGGACGAAACGGCCGTCCATTTCTTCCAGGTTTTCAACAGTGGTCTAGCTTAGATCGGCTTATTAATGCAATTGTGAAAATATTAGTTAGAAATTAAGTTATTCCGTTGTTAATATCCAGAGCCTGAATTGAAATCAACGTTAGTTAGCAATAACGTAAAACTATTACTAAATGGATGTGGGAAAAAAATAATCGTTATAATGCACTTTTCTTCTGTATTATTTTTTCCTAAAAAATCACATTACAGGATAGCGACAATGATGGTTTATTGAATGAATGGGACGATGATGATGATAATGATGGTATTCCAGGTTAGTCACTGTGTTTGATGTATTTTTAGACAAATAATCCATTGAAAGAAACGATAATCTTTTCTATGTATTAATTAGTGCCTTTATCGGATTATTTTTAAAGTTTGAAATAATTATAAAATCACTTTTAGACAATCTTTCATTCTTGCAAAACCTGAAATTAACATTTGAATTAGTTTGATCAAAGGTTCTATAAACTTTGAATCAACTTATCTTGGATCCTTGTATTACCATACTGTAGAAATGATAAATATTCATACAGTCATATCTATAGGTCATAATAGTTCGCCATCATCTGACACAACTAAGAAGGACATAATGTGTTCTTGGTAAACCAGCCAGATTTGTATATTATGTTTTTATGTATACTGATTTTTGTGTAACGCTCAAAATAGTGATCATTTTCTAAATAACATGAGAATGTTAACCCCATAGTTGAGTAAGATGTTTATTTTAGATTAAATATAGATAAGATGCAGAACCGATATCCAGTCATAGAAATTCTGATAAACTGTCTTAATATTACGGTAATGATTATTTATTTTACTATTCAGTTAATTCCTACTAGTATGCAAGTGAAATATTGCTGGTTTCAAAAATAAGCCTGGCACTTCTCATTGAAGTATAGTTCCAAAAAGAGAGGTTTTCATTAACTAATCCAGTTAGTAATAAGATAGTGACTCTGTAAGCTGTTAGTAATAAAACTGAATGATAAGTCAACAAGCTATATACTTTTTACCATCTTATACTTCCTTTTAACTGACCAATAAATCGATTTTTAACGTACCTTATATTTTCTTTTGTAGATGTGGATGATGAGGATTCGAATGGTGATGGGATCATTGATTGTCAACCACATGATAGTGATAATGATGGAATACCCGATCATATCGATGAAGATGATGATAACGATGGTATACCAGATCAACGAGATCCTGATTCAATGTCATTTCTGCTGTATAAACATAAGCGTTTTCTTGAAGCTATCCCAGGTATACACAATAATCACTCATACTTTGATTTGAATTTATCCGTTTCAAAGTAATTTATCCATCTATATGTTTCTTTCAGAAGTCAACTTGTCAAATTCAATAATCTTTTTAAATAGTAACAATAAGCATCCCTTTCGTGAAACATATTTACTGATAACTTAGTTGCTTAAAATAATTATGTTTATTTACATGAGGATATGTTCAATATTAAATGTGAATTCAGAATTAATAATTGTATTTAGCTTTTATAATTCAGTGGTCAAAAGTTTTGAGAAAAAACGCAACACTGAAACACATTATTTATCAATACGAAAGATTCATTGAAGATTCAGGTAGAAAGTATTCTTCCCTGCTCCCCGGTGTTGTTTCTTAAATCACACAATCCACCTAACTCTCAATTCTGACTACTTGACCACATTTTAATTAGCAGAATTGAATAGTGGCTAGTAGTGGAATCTAGGTCGAACATTTCATCCTATTTGAGACACGTTGGCAGGATAAAATGCGCGTTCAAGATTCTACTACTAGCCACTATACATCTCTGCTTAAAATGTTTGTGACTTAAAGTAATACTGAGGCGATTCGCACACGATGCACATATGCCAACAAGACAATAGTGAAATACAGTCTCAAACGTCAGTGAGACGATTCAAACAACCAATAGACGAATTAAATTATACATCAGTATATCATTTAATTCATCTTTTGAAACATTAATAAGAATGAAATGGCTTGTATTTTTTTGTTTTCTATTCTCACCATTACTCTGTCCGAATGATCTTATAATGATATCCACTTCTCGACATAAATCCGTATGAAATAAAACTAACACTAATTTAGCATCCATACATTTTCCAAAGTCAAATCAAACATTTAGACCAATATTATTGTCAGAAGAAAATTGAAGAAAGTCTTTTATATTCAAGGGGAATGATTTAACAAAGAAATGAATTGAAATTTGATCATTGAATATTGTTGGTTAATTGTAAAAGATGTGTACCTATTTGTTGTAACATGTATAAATTATAGAGTTGTTACATTTACAAACTACAACTATTGAAGATTAAGATAAGTGACATTTCTGAATCCTCAGAGCTCACTACTTTGATTGATTTATGTGATGATAAACAATATAATATATTATCTTTACTAGCACCTTATATTTTCTTATAGTGTCATTATTAATGTAGAAATAAAAAGTAAAATGCAATTTATCAGACAAAAGATGAATATCATTGAAATGATGAACTGATCAAATTAAGACAACTGTTGAAAATCTGAAAGCACCAGATAGTCGTTTTGTCCTATTATGGAACTCTTCAACAGTTCATATCCACAATACCGCAAGACAAAATAAATTAACATTGTGTTATATTTGACAAATATTAGTTGAAAGACACTTAGTTAACTTTGAATCAGTTTATGTTTGAAAGTAAACAAATAATAATTTAGACAAATAGAGATAGATAAGCGTGGATACACAAAAATATACTTAAAGGAAAGGTTAAGATTAATTATATATGAATACATAAAATATAACAAATCAGATTACAATTTCATATGTTCATGACAGATAAGTTGAAATAACAGCTTGTATCAGTCTGTTATACAAGTTCACAAAACGATTGTTGATTCCGTTAAGTATGCAGTATGCCTTAAGTGTATATAAGCTCGCTAAAACACAAAAAACTACAATCTCATACATAACTGTGTGCTACTTATATTGACATAAGTAGTATGCGATGTTAGTCGTGAACAGAACGTCTGGCAGCGGAGAGGCATGAGGATCGAACAGTAAAGAATGGAAACAGATTGCAATGTGTATGAAAATGCAAGAACAATGAAGTCTGAGTTATTTTGAGACAATCGATGGACATTTTGCAAATTAAGCGTTTACTTTATGATTGTAAGATTTTATTAACAAGTCCTGTAATTTTGTGTTAAATACATTCGATTGTTCCCCACTGGTGTTCGTGTTCACCACAACTGTATACTTACAAGTGTTATTTAAGGGAACATAAGCTTAACGTGAAGAAGGAGAAATATTCGTTTACCTATTAAGATTATTTATTCAAATCGATTTTTATCCATTTTTGTTTTCCTTATTTTTTTTAATCTAAACTTCATCAACTAAATCACATTTATCAAAAACAAAAAAAATTATTTCAGATAATCGTCTGAAAAAAATTCGAGTTTATATGCCAATTTTTGTGAAAAAATTTCCACATGGAATGTCCGACAGTGAAATATCTAACGATGTACAATATACCCATGGTGAACTATGATACTCGTCAATTTAGTATTAAGATAATGATTCTTACTTTAAAAGTGTTGTGTTTGTCTAGAGTTTGAAAATGCATGAAGATTTTTGTTGTTGAATATTACAAATGTGTGCAATGTCTATCATGTTTTTAGAGTTTATTGTTGCACCTTTCTTTACAAAGATAAATGATTTCCCACTTATACTTAAACACAGATTTGTTGTCAAGACGTTTAAAACTACATATATATAAGCACATTTTATTATGTACGCCAGAGTACGAATAATGAATATTACCATACAGACTTTCAAGTTATCATTTTCTTCAACAATGTCTGACCTAATCTCATTACTTTTAATTAAGGAGTAATTATTATTTTACATGAACTACCGAGTCATACATTAACATGTTCTTCAGTATTATATTTTATTTATGGTGTATTTTTTCTAGATGTCATCATGGAACGTGAGTTAACTTTCTTCGCATATAAAAAAATAGGTTGAGAAGAAGAAATAACAAATTTAAGAACTAATCGACTTATGAATAACTACTGTTATATTAGTTTAGTTTTTTTTCATGAAAAATACTTAACTGATAACAACTAGAAAAATTATTTATTCCATAAACCCTGTAATAATATCAAGTGATCTACTTTAATACACCATTTAAAAAATTTGAAGCACTAGACGAACGTTTCGTTCTAGTATACAACACCTCACTAGTGAGCATCCTTGAGACCCTCACGTCACAATCGAACAAACGACCCTCAGTCTCACACTGGAACACTTAATATCTAAACCACTGAATCGTAATCCGACAGTATCATTTTCTAACTTCAGTCAATCCGCAATAGTACACTACCATCTCCGATTGTCTTCAGTAGGTAATTGCCCCTCACTCGACACGGTTTAGCTTCACTGATCACAGTCTCTAACTAGAAGTGTTGAAATTTCCTCTGGAAATTAGTTACTAGTAACCACATAATAAATATATGTGTTTGTTGAGATTTTTGAATTTCACTGAAATCCTGAAGTGACTTAAATTAGACCACTAGGTCTTTAATGGTGGTCTTTTCAGGATTTCAATGAATTTCAAAGACCTCCATAACATTATAACTAACTTACACCTGTTACCTTTCATGGAGGAGCATATGCCGCTCGCCTGCATTCTCCATCCAACCCTGTCCGGAACAATCCTTTACAGTAGTTTCCAGTTGCTATAGTTCCTTTCCATGTCTGCTTCCAATTCTCGGCGGAGTTTGCGTTTTGGCCTTCCTCTTTGCTGTTTCTATTCAGAATTTCAAGTTAGCACTTGCCTCGTGATGCAGTTTGATGATTTCCGTAATGTATGTCGTATCCACTTCCAATGCATTTCCCTAACTTCCTCTTCAGGTAGAACCTGGTTTGTCCTCTCGCACAGTAAGCTGTTGCTGATGGCATCCGGCCGAAGGACCTTCAATATCCTACATAGACAATTGTTTAGAAATACATCTACCTTTTTGATTATGGTTGGGGTAGTTCTCCACGTTTCAGCTCCTTACAGTAAAACTGTCTTGATGTTCAGATTGAAGATTCTGACTTTGATATTGGCTAGCAGTTGTTTTAAGTTCCATATGTTCTTCAACTGTAGGAACACTGCCCTTACCTTCCCAATCCTTGCCTTTACATTTGCACCAGATCCTCTACGTTCATTGATGTTGCTGCCCAGATATGTGAAACTTCCCACCTCTCCCAGAGTTTCGCTATCAAGTGTGATTGGTTTGGTGTTCTCTGTGTTGAAGTTGAGGATGTTGCTTTTTCCTTCGTGTTATATAAGGCCTACTGATGCAGAGGCAGGTGCTACGCTGGTTATCATAACCTGTATTTGCCCGCGTGTATGGGATAGAAGGGTCAGGTTATCTTTGAAGAACAAATGTTTCAATTGACTCCGAGCTGTTCATTGTATTCCTTACTTCCCCTCAGATATCGAGATCTTCATAATCCAGTCAATCAACATAATAAAGAGGAAGGGGGAGAATAAGCAGCCTTGTCTTATTCCTGTCCTCACTTGGAATGAGTGTCAACTGTCTCCCATGAACCACTTTGCAGTGTAGTTCGTCTTATGAATTCCTGATGATGTTGATGATCTTCTCAGGTACTTCATAGTGTTGAAGTTTCCATAATGTTCTCCTATCCACACTGTCAAACTCCTTCTCAGAGTTTAAGAATTTGGTGTACAGTGATGAGTTCCATTCAACTGATTGTTCAACAATGGTCTGTAGTGTGGCGATTCGGTCTGTGCACGATCGATCCCTACGGAATCTGGCCTGTTTGTTAACAAGCTTTTGTATCGTTGTTTCTTCTTTTTTACAATGACACAGTTAATATAAGTAAGCATAGTGTTATTTAATCCGTTTAAACGCTAACCAGAATAAACAGATTAAACACTGTACTTACTTATATTAACTGTGTTATTGTAAACCAGAAGTAGCAGTACAACAGTTTGTTAAAAAGCATTCCTAGAACTCCAGAGTTCAAGATTTTAACAATGGCATGAACTGGTATATTTGTAAACATGGAGTGTTTATAGCTGCCAATAACCTCAAAAGTCGACTACGTGGTTCCTCATTATTATGCTTGGATCATGATCATCATCTGTTTCACAACGACATAATTATTTTTTTAAGTTTAAATTAGAGATTTCATTATTTTAACGTAAATGGGCTTAACAACAACTTCTTTTAACACTATTTGAAATTGGACCTAAAACTTTTAAAATATATGTTAAAATGTAATTTATTGAGGCGTTACAGTTTTATGTATTTAATCCCCCTTGTACATTTTGCCATAACAAATTAGTTTCTATAGCAAATACTCCTTAACGAGCCATGAAATGATAAATAAGATTTTTCAATGTAAAATTACTACAACAATTATTAATTCTAGCTTCGTTAGTTTGAAAGCATGCTTTAATGTTTAGCATGAATATTAGTACATTTCTACAAAGAATTATGACTGTTCAAGTAGTTTTCCATGAGTTCATATCTGTTTTTTTCTGTTTGTGTGTTTATATGTGACCCATTTCCCTGTTATCTGTTAGCATAAACTATTCTTGCCTAGGTTATAGATATTATGAATGTTCAATGTTATATGTGTAAAGAATTGATACATTGAACAATGTATTTACTGATCAGATTGATGAAAATATATATATTTAGGGAAAAAGAGCTTTCTTCAAATAACAGATCTCAGATTTTGGCGCGAAATTCATCCATCCATCGGGCTAAATAGAGTTTTGGCATTATAAGTGATGTCAGTTCATGATGAAAACCCTAAATCTAATTCCTAACCCTAACCGTCCCCACTGTGCTACCTTGTTAAGCTCTATGCTGATTCAATTTCGCATATTTTTCAGCTCATGTGGAGAAAATGAGTATACTACTTTAAGATCATCTGCATATAGAAGGGGGTTACCCACACAAAAACTTCCACAAATATCATTGATAAACACTAAAATGAGCAAAGGGCCTAAGACACTACCTCGTACTACACCACTTCTAACAGGGACAGCATTAGACAATGAAGAGTTAATTTTAACTGTTTGATGTCGATTGCTGAGAACGGAATCAAACCAAGCTAGCAAAGGGTGTTGAACCCCGTAAGATGCGAGTTTACCTATAAGAAGTTGGTGGTTAAACATGTCGAAGGTTTTAGAAATGTCCAGATATAGCACTAAGACTAGATATCCTTGGCTATGTAGAGAATAGACTAAATTAAAGAAGTCAAAATGACATGTCATGCAAGAACGATTTTTAAGAAATCCATCTTCAGCATCATTGATAAATTTTCCAGCGAGTAAATAGTTGGAAAGTTCACCACTTGTAATTTATTCCGTAATTCTAGAGATAACTGTAGTAATACTTATCGGCCGATAATTGTTCATGTCAGTCTAATCTCTAGATTTGTAACGTGGTATGATGTACGCGGTTTTCCGACAGTAAGGGTAAGAACCTGTTTCCATAGAGCAAACAGCTTTAGAAGAAGTGGAATATCCGGACCACTATATTTGTAGACAAAGGATGAAATCCCATCTGCTCCATGACCTCTCGAAAGCTTAAGGATACTTATAGCCTGACTAATTTTCATGCATGTGAAAGAGATAGATTTTATTGAGTTGCTAGTCACACACATAACTCTTGAAGCAGAGCCATTTGTGATTACTACACCATTCGCAAAAATATCACTGAGAAGGTCTGCTATAGTTTTAGAATCGTATATAAAAGTGCTATCATGCTGGATGCACGGTATATCAGCATTTTGAGTTGCTTGAGCGCGTTTATTGAAAAGGATAGTTAAGTTTTGTACCTTTGACTTAGTATTAAGTGCTAGTATCTCCTCATTAATGGCTTTTAACCTATGTTTCTCTTTAATTTGGTTAAAAATTATTGTTATTTGTGCAACTGCCGTGAAGTCGTTTGACTTAAATTAACGTTTTCTGTAGGCGTCTTAGCTTATTACGATATTTAGCTGGTATATATAATTCGTAAGATTTACTAAACCTGTCCGTTTTAAAAAGTAGACAGGAATCTAAACAAGAGTTAATGACCAGATAGAATTCGTCGATAGTATCCATGAGACTATTACATGAAAAAATGGATGTTTGCTCAACATGGACATAATCGATCTACGAATTAATGACATTTTTATTGTTTAGGGGATTGAAAACCAAACAACATAGATAGCATTAATTCTACTTTTACAGTATAAAAAAGATGAATAACAATTGATTATGTAATAAATTCAAAAATATTTGGCTTGTTAAAACTTCAACTAGTAAATAAATGTGAGACAATTCAGCGTTAATTTACTTGATAAACTTAATATTTTTAGTCGCTTATCTTCGTAAATGTTTAAATCTTTACATTTCCACGTGTGACATTTACGGATTCTGAGTAGATATTATGTTGTAATTGTTATAAACGTCATTCATGCATCATTACTGAGCACTTAAATTTCTTAATTTTATTACTAACCACCTCTAAGAACATCATTAGTTGTATTGAAAAACGTTTATTGAATTCATTAGTGTAATTAATTTGATGAGTATCTGTCAACTTAAAATACCATCAATATTACACCATTTTTAATGCGGATTTGTGATTTTCTCGGTACCCCCTTCCTCTTATACAAATAATCCAATAACATTAGATTTGTATGTAGTTTTCTTCACTAAGTACACTTGTGTTTGTACAATTTAGGCTTAAATGTGCACTGGAGTATCATACATAGTATTTGGCTTGAGTGTGATTCTACGTATATTGTTATCCCTAAAAAAACCATAATTTATGAATACAATTGCTATTTTTTGTTTGCAGCTCATATTGCACGACAAGAAGCCAACTTGTTAAATGTCGATTTAGGCGATCCAAATGATAAAGATTGTGATGGAATTCCAGATCATATTGATAATGATTTGGATAATGATGGAAAAATCGACAGAACACAAGATTCAGATATGGATGGATTATTAAACCACATAGACGAAGATGATGATAATGATGGTAGGAATTATTATGGTTTTTTTTAAAGAAAATTGGTAGTTTAAATACATTTGATTAATTCTAGATATTTTGATTATGAATTGACGTCAATTGTGAGAAAAACCAATGAAGAATAAAGAGGAGTAAATGTGTATACCATTGTGATTTGAAACTTTTAAACTATGCGCCTAAGTTTACTGTGTCCAGTATGACAGCCATGGAGAAACACTCTACCGTTGGAAATATTAAGGATTTGTGATGAAGCACTGTTGTAGTTGGATTATGTATGGTTGGTTTTATAACAGTGCTTGACTGATTAGCTAATAACCTCTTATCAGTTTCCTCATCAATATACCTATATAATATCCTGGTAGTATCATATGTCAATGAATCACTCTATAATGATAAAAAAAAGTCAAGAATCACAGAAAATAATGTACTGTCAGACCAACTCAGTCGTATGTATAAAAAGAAACGTCTTTTTATTGTATTACTACATTCACCATCCTACTGACCTTTGATTTTATTATTGTTCAGATATGCATGTACTGATGATTTGTAAGAAACCTATGATTTCTTCAGCCTTCTACCTGTTTTACCAGTATGGCTTTAATTTAATACACTCTTAGTTATGAAAATGATGTATTCAGGTTTCAATCCATTTCATGAATTTTTCACAATTTACTCTATAAGAGATGGATTACTTATCTTCAAGTGGATTGGATTGTTTCGGTATATACCAAGAGACTTATGTACTCCTCCTTCTTTAGCATACTTCATTATGATGTTACAAATCGGTTGATTCTATTTCTATACAATTTGTTTAAAAATGAAAACATTTAGACAATGAAAGTTTTCTTCTCGACGATTTATTCTCTTTATTAATCTGATCAGAACAAATACTAAAATTCCAAATGAAAAAATGGTACGAAATCATTTTATTTCGTGAAATCCCATCAAGTGCTTATAACTCTTAGTTGGATTGACAAAACTTACTGATTTGATTGAAATATAACACATTGTTATATAAACACACATAGTTCCCATTTAAATATAAGAACATGAAATTCAGCGAGGAGATCTCTTTTCAACGAATTTATTATCAAGCTGTACAATCGTATATATATAAGAACTTTCGTCTAAATTTGAACGAACAGTTTCACAGTAATTGAACACCGAGTTTATGTAAGACATTAATGAGGAAGAATATATTTTTAACATCTTACTGATTGAATTTGAAGTAAATCCAACGTTTCGTTCGGTGATCTGGTCCAAGCTTTTTCAAGGAACTATAAGCAAACATCGCTGAACTTTGTGTTTATGATCATTAATTTTATATACCTTTTTATTTGTACAAGCAATAATTTATTGTTATTATTTACACTCTATGAACTATTACATCATCGTGTTTTTAAAATTTCATACACATTTACGATTGTATAGCTGAATAAAAAGTTCTTTGAAAAGAGGTTCCTTCTCTGAATTTTTTGTCGTATAATGTAAAAATAACACTCATGAATACTTGAATCAAAATAGGGTCATATTTCAAGTTGTTTGATATCTACCAAACTAATAGAAAAAGTAAATGAAAAGTAAGATAGGAAATATACAGAACTGGAATTTCAAACAGGATGTGTCACTTCATCATTTACTTCTTTACAATACTGATTAAAAAACTTAAGTTAATGCCAGTTGCCTAAAACAGCAACTTACAGCTTTGGAACTAATGACCATTACTTAGCACATAAATGCACCATAGAACCAAAAACAACTCCATTATAACTGAAACAAATAAAACAATAATATAAGAAATAATAATATTACTAAATAAGGACAAAGTAGGACGAAAATACTAATAAATCTTCAAATTCTTTTATAAAAGTGATTGAGCATAATATATATCGGAAAGCCTTCGTTAGTTCTCCCTAATTACTTATTATTTTAAATCATATTGTACTAACATTTCAATGAAGTAGATTACTAAAATTAGTAGCAATATATAGCTTGTACTGATGAACTAGGAAACCATGTAAGAAATGGGTAGATTATAACGTGAATAATCGCTATAAATGAGCAATACTGTTTTCTTGTAGATCTTTACTAGGTTTTACTCTAATATTTGGTTATATATATGAAAATATATTTAACTATGTAATCTACTTAATTGTCATGTTTGACTGATAAACTGCCTTGGTTTAATTTTTCATACACCCATATAAATATTACAAAGCCCGATAAAGACCTGACTGAAAACAATGTTGTTTGCTTATATGTGTTGATCTAACTTGCAGTATGGAAATTTCAATACTTTTCACTTTACATTTTTTATTGAAATCCGTCGTACCAACTGAAATTACTGATAGTTTTATTTTATACTTTATATCATAGAATGACTTAGTTAAACAAGGATTGGAAATCAGTAAGTACTGGACAATTGTTTTTTCATATCATGCAGTTCTTCAGTATTGTTCATTAGTGAAGCGTTCGATCTTCAATAACATCGTGGATGGACGCTGTTGATAAGTTACGCTAAACTAGGATAAAGCAGTTGTTCAGTAATTCTTGGTATTCATGTTTATCTAATTAAAGTCCGTCCATGATGTAAACGATAAAATTTAACAGTTTTCAAAAGCCTTCTATATCAAAAGCTGTGTTTATCCTTTTCAGACTTCTCTTTTCTTATCAACCCTTCTTTTATTTTTGTTTTAAGGTATTCCTGATGTATTAGATCCTGATGCAAATGGTGATGGTATTCCAGATTGTCGACGTGATGGTGGATTACATTATAAATTAGTTAAATCACCTTCTGGTTTAATTAAAAAAGTATTAAGAATACGTGAACCAACACAAGAAGAACAACATCAAGCCTATATGGTTAATGAAGCTAAACGTAAATTAATACGTATTCGTGCTAAACTACGTGAACCTTTACCAAAGAATACAATACAAGCAATTCCATCATTTGATTTCAATGATAACATGAATGATAATCCAGATAATCATCATAATGTTAATGAAATAAAATCTAAAATAAAATCATTTAATTCAAAATCTGTTCAATCTAATATCAATTCAAAAAATGAACATACAATTAAACATCATCCAAATAATAAACAAGAAAATGGCGGTAATATAAATTCAAAGAAAACATCAATACAAGGAGTCAAATCTACTGGTTCACCTTCTTTAAAACAATCAAATCAACAACAAATACCAATAAAACATATCAAGGAACAAAATACTGTTAAATTAAATAATAAACAACAAAATCGTAAATTAGCAGAAAGTTTAATACCAAATGAAAATACTGATTCATTTTATTCTTTAAATAAAGACATTTTACTGAATATTCATGATATGAATGATTACCCTGATCATGTTTCTACTCCCTTTGATAATTTTAACGATGATAATGATGATGATGACAATGAAATAGAGAATGATCAAGAAGTTAATTTAGCTGATACAAACTTAAAATCATCAATATTTGGCAGTTTTTTATTGCCTGGAGCAGAAGCAGGAACAACTAATGAAGTAACTGGATCAAATAGAAAAAATATCAAGAAAACGAAACAAAACGAAGCAACACAAATGAAAAAAGTTGATAAATTAAAATTAAAAGAAAAACAGAAGGTTAGAAGAATTACATAGTTAAACTATTCATCAATCCAATTTCTTATTTAGAAAAAAATTTAGATTAATATGAAGTTAATAATTTCTTGGCCGAGACTGTAACTCATGGACGAACCAATCAGATTTAGGATAATAGGTCTTAGATTTTGGCACGAAATTCATTCATCCATTTGGCTAAATAGCGTTTTGGCATTTTAGCTTATGTCATTTCGTGATGAAAACCCTAAATCTAATTCCTAACCCCTACTATCAACCGAAAATCATAATCCTTATTCTTCACATTGCTTTATAACACTCATTTAGTCTTGGTTAGTAGATGGACATTCTCAAGGTCACTTTAGCGTCGCTCAATGATCGTCCACAAATTATAGTCTCACCAATTCTGTTTTATTTGTTTTACTATTGCAAATTGAAACAATCATTGCCTTGAAATTTATCATCTTACATAGTTCATATACTTCTGAATAGATTCAAACAATTATAGAATGAAACAGTTATTCCGTTGTGTAAATTAGTTTCTAACAGTTATAATCTGTAATAAACCACTTATAAATTTCTTTTAAAGTGTAAACTTTTCTTAATTTAGTATAATTTTATTTTATTCTTGTATGTTGATAATAATGTTGACTGATTTATAAAACATACACAGAAACTATTATGTTTTAACTCTAGACATTTCAATAATTCAATAAATATTTATTAGTAACATGACTTATTAAATATTTTTATGATCGTATATCATCATCAGTAACTTAAGATCACGTCATATGTAAAAACAAATGGATTCTGTTCTTACGATCATGAATAAATTTGATAACAAACTGGGACAATAAAAGATTGTTCATTTTCATTGAAATCATGAACTGATCGAAGTTGAAACTTCATTGATACTTCGTTCTAGCATACAACTCCTCAGTAGTGAGCATCCATGATCCCTTACGTCGGAATCAAACCAAGGACACTCGGTTTCACGCGGGAACACTTAGTCTCCAAATTACCGAATTGGCATCCAACGGTATTAATTTCTAACTTTAATCAATCCGCAACATTGCGCGATGATCTTTAAATTTAATTCACTTCAGGATTTCAGTGAAATTCGAAAATCTCAACAAACACATATAATTATTATGTGGTTACTAGTAACTAATTTCCAGAGGGAATTTCAACATTTCTAGTGAGAGACCGTGATCAGTGAAGCTAAACCGTGTCGAGTGAGGGGCAATTACCTACTGAAGACAATGAGAGACAGTCGTGTACTATTGTGGATTGACTGAAGTTAGAAAATGATATTGTTGGATTACGATTCAGTGGTTTAGATATTAAGTGTTCCAGTGTGAGACTGAGGGTCGTTTGTTCGATTGTGACGTGAGGGTCTCACGGATGCTCACTAGTGAGGCGTTGTATACTAGGACGAAACGTCCGTCAAGTGCTTTCAGCTTCCCAGTGATATTTTAACTCAGATCAGCTCATCAATTCAAGAGAAATCCTTTTTACCAGTCAGGAAATACAGAGTGATCAGAATCATGTTTTCATACAGCTTTTAGTAAACAGAAAATGAAAAATAGTAACAATGATTAAGAAATTTTTATTTAAGTTGGATATTGGTGAGCACTTGAGCTCAGGAAACACGTTTTATCTTATTTGGAACTTGTAAGCTTGATACAATTATTAGTCACTATCCAACATGAATAAAAACCTCTGGTTGAATGGGAATATCAAGGTAATCCGGTAAACATGTAAGTATGTCGAAAATGAAACTGACTAACTGCAATTCTTAATGTTGACAACATTAACTTTTACAGTTAAACAGACTTATAACAAACGAGACAATCGTATTTCTTAATTCCGAAGTTAATTTTGCATAATAATGTCATGTATATTTAACAATTGTTTTATGATACTCTCCACATTAGATTTCGATTTACTATCAAAATTACTTTAATGATTTAAAGAATAAGAAATAGTGAATCACGGACATGCAAATTTTAGATAATCCCATGACACGTTCATTACATAGTTCGTCTTATTACTTATCGCAATAATGATATTGTCAACTATGCACATGATTAATAGATTAATTTAAAAAATGTAGTCCAAATTTACATAAGTAAATATGCATAATAATACTGTGATACAGGATTGTCTGTATATGAACGTACCTGAAAAAAGTATTGGAAAGCCTTTGAGTCCTATTGTGGGACTCCTCATCAGTGCGTATCCACGATCCCGCTCGTGAGATTCGAACCCAGGGTCATCTAGTACTTACAGGTTTTCAATGGTGGTCTAATATTAATCGGTTCAGGATCTCAATCAAAAACCTAATAATCTTCACAACCCCATACTGATAATACTTTTTTTCCAAAAAAAGTGAAAAGTTCCTGTAAATTCTTTTCTTCATGGTTAAGTTATTTACAGTGTTCTACTTAATATTACTGATGAACTAAGCCGGAAACTAATTTGAAATTTAAGAAAATTACATTTATAAAATTTTAAACTTGTATTTTATTGAATTTACAGTGGACTAGACTACTACTACTCTAAATAAGTTTCTTATTTGAAGTTGTAAAACAGAAAAACTAATGATGCGTATTTTGTGAATAGTCCGATTTTTCAAAAAGATGTATTTATAGATCAATAGAAACAGTTGTAACGTTTAAGTTCCTATACTTACTCCATCAGTACTAATCTCAATTATTATTTGTGTAATTTAATGGATTATTGAGTGTGTATTTGTAGAAACGGACTGTTGATTGGTTGATAATAAATGATTTCGTAGAATGATTATTCATCCTAGGTAACTCGACGTATGTCTATTTTGTCAGTAATCTGATAGACAATTTGGCAAACAAGGAAAAATCTCCGAACTTTTATAGCTTCGACTAAATTTATAGGTGTAAGGAAAACATAGCTTGTCAGTATGTGAATACAATGAAAAGCAGTAGTAATTTAAACATTGACTGAAAAAAATCCAGATGATGATTAAAAGCAGTGGTCAGTAAAAAAAGTAAAAAGAGAGATCATAAGATCAGTTGAATTAACATGGTTTATAAAACTTCTATTTTCTTTATAATCTGTCTCCTAACTAAGACTCTGAAATGGCGACCACAATAAAATTAGGCTAGTTTCAGGTTAAGTTATTGAAGTGTGTTAGATCTTTACTCTTTCATAAGTTATAAAATACCAGCTTAATTATGGATGTCTACACTTAAGTTCACCAACTAACAATGTTTGTAAATGAGAGACTTACTGAATTCTCTTTATTCACAAACTATTGGCAGATTCAAAACTGTCACACTTGCAATGGCTATGTAAAATACTGTCTGACAGATTCATGCATTCTTCCTAGTTTTCTGAATAGTTACTCTTTGTTCATCTAATTTTCTAGAGATTGATCTTCTACTTAGAAATCCTTTCGTCGACTTGGAGTGTGTACACGGCATAGTTATATATGATAAAGATGCAGGAAAAATTCATTCTTTTGTACGCCATGAATAACGAATCACGGATACTTGGGATGCATATGGTTTTTTTAATAATTCAGCTGGTCTATTTTGTTAATTGAGAAAGGTTTTGAGTAAGCTAGCAATTTATTTATTGTAAAAACCATACAATTATGAAAGACTGATAGCAAATGAAATCTAGATATGGATTTGAATGTCTCTCATCCCATTTATTTACTTATATTATATGTAGCACAAATGGGATGACAATCTGTCTATTTGAGGACGGATATAATAAATAGCAATTTTTCCTGTATTTCTTTACTGCAGTGAACAATGGCCTTCAAAAATCGAGATCGCAAGTTCGTTGATAATATTTATTCAAAATTGTATTTCATGCATGATAGAACTAACGGGTGGTTATAATCCTAAGGTACGACTTAGGAAAACAATTAATAGAAAGTGTAAATCAACTGACAGACCTCCAACTTCATATTGAAACCTATGTAGATTTTGCACCAATTTATAAGCCTTGTCCATTGTTAAATTACTAGTAATACTATCATTTTGTTGCTCAAATGTACGTAAGTGATTCAACACACTGAGGACACTATCCAAAACCGAACCTATCACATTCGGAATTACTTTCAAGGATGACAATATGGAACAGTTACAGTTTATTCACAAATAAATCGTTAAGAAATGTCCATTTACTAAATATGTTCCTTGAATGTTTAACCGTAATACCTCAAAAAGAGATAGTGAATCATGTATATTATTGTTCTAAAAAATTTCATCGTTTCTCATCAACTCATAAAACTTCCGATGTTAATCTTGTTCTCAATATACTTTATTTAGTATGACAGTGAAATATCGGCTACCAAAAAAATCTAACTTAAAGGAAATTGAAAGATTGATATGTTTTCTGTTTTTCATTTTATTCATTTCTTTACGGTTTCATAATGCTAATATTGGCAGATTGTATAAGTTTTGGATTTATTTATGACCAAATGATCTCGATGTTAGTTGATTTGGGAAAAATATCTTTATGGGATCAATGAAAATATGATCAAACCTGTCACAGTAACTTCTAAATATTCTATACAAATATCATGCACATTTTAAAAAATTTTAAATCTAAATCTTGACAAATGTTCAATATTATGTATTTTATTCCTATTAGGTTAATGAAAATGACAAAAGGTTACACTCCACAAAAAATAAACAATCATGTGACGTCCATTCTTGTCAAACAACAAAAAATAACCAGGTGAAAACTCACCGAAAATCTCATTCTATCACAAACTATTTATCTAGCCATCATGAAGATGATCATGATGACGAAGATGAAACATCGCTAGACTCAGATGGTGACGGCATACCGGATTATATGGAAGATGAAAATGGCGATGGTATTCCGGACTACCTAGAAGATGATGATAATGATGGCATTCCAGATCATTTAGAAAGTGATTCAGACGGAGACGGTATTCCAGATTATATGGAAGATGATGATGGAGATGGAATACCAAACTACTTAGAAGACGAAGATGAAAATGGCATTCCAGATTACCTGGAAAATAGTAAACAAATCAAAAATCAAGGTAAGTATAAAATAAACGAACGTCCAGTTCGAAAACATAAAAATAAAGAAACACGTACAGATGACAATAAAAAAAATATAATAAGATACGGAAAAAACAACAATAAAAAAATCCACAGTCAAGAACGCTACTCACACCATGACCATCTAGAAGACGATTCTGATGGCGACGGTATCCCTGACCATCAGGAGGATGAGGATGGTGACGGCATTCCAGACTACCTGGAAGACGATGATGGGGACGGTATTCCTAATTATCTCGAAACGAGTCACCTCAAGAGAGCAAGCAAATTACCGAAACACATCGACAGGGACGGTGATGGAATTCCAGACCATCTAGAGGGTGATTCTGATGGTGACGGTATCCCTGACCATCAGGAGGATGAGGATGGTGACGGCATTCCAGACTACCTGGAAGACGATGATGGGGACGGTATTCCTAATTATCTCGAAACGAGTCACCTCAAGAGAGCAAGCAAATTACCGAAACATATCGACAGGGACGGTGATGGAATTCCAGACCATCTAGAGGGTGATTCTGATGGTGACGGTATCCCTGACCATCAGGAGGATGAGGATGGTGACGGCATTCCAGACTACCTGGAAGACGATGATGGGGACGGTATTCCTAATTATCTCGAAACGAGTCACCTCAAGAGAGCAAGCAAATTACCGAAACATATCGACAGGGACGGTGATGGAATTCCAGACCATCTAGAGGGTGATTCTGATGGTGACGGTATCCCTGACCATCAGGAGGATGAGGATGGTGACGGCATTCCAGACTACCTGGAAGACGATGATGGGGACGGTATTCCTAATTATCTCGAAACGAGTCACCTCAAGAGAGCAAGCAAATTACCGAAACATATCGACAGGGACGGTGATGGAATTCCAGACCATCTAGAGGGTGATTCTGATGGTGACGGTATCCCTGACCATCAGGAGGATGAGGATGGTGACGGCATTCCAGACTACCTGGAAGACGATGATGGGGACGGTATTCCTAATTATCTCGAAACGAGTCACCTCAAGAGAGCAAGCAAATTACCGAAACACATCGACAGGGACGGTGATGGAATTCCAGACCATCTAGAGGGTGATTCTGATGGTGACGGTATCCCTGACCATCAGGAGGATGAGGATGGTGACGGCATTCCAGACTACCTGGAAGACGATGATGGGGACGGTATTCCTAATTATCTCGAAACGAGTCACCTCAAGAGAGCAAGCAAATTACCGAAACACATCGACAGGGACGGTGATGGAATTCCAGACCATCTAGAGGGTGATTCTGATGGTGACGGTATCCCTGACCATCAGGAGGATGAGGATGGTGACGGCATTCCAGACTACCTGGAAGACGATGATGGGGATGGTATTCCCAATTATCTTGAAAATAATGGTGCTGCATCAATTTATTTAAATTTTTTGCGGAAATCGATCATGAATTTGAAGTCTTCGGATTCAAAGGACAATGTTATTCATGATTACCTGCGTGGTTACACTGATGGTGATGGTGTTCCTGACTATCTAAGAGATAGTGATAATGATGGAGTACCAGATTTTATGGAAGATGTTGATGATGATGGAACACCAAACTATATAGATGTTGATTCTACAGGACAATCTTTGCAACATACAATTTCGTATAAAAAGCACTACGATGTCAATAAAAATGGCATACCAGATGACTTGGAAAGTGATCAGGATGGAGATGGCATCCTTGACTTCATGGAAGATTCTGATGACGATGGTATTCCAGATTATCTAGAGGACTCAGATAATGATGGATTCCCAAACTATTTAGATGATACATTTAACTCCAAACGTGATATCCATTTAAAATTTGAAGATAAAAATAAGAATGGGATACCGGATCATTTAGAACGTGATTCTGACTATGACGGAGTTCTTGACTATTTAGAAGATTCTGATAGAGATGGTATACCAGACTATTTAGAAGATACTGATGCAGATGGTACACCAGATTACATGGATGAAGATGCTGTTACACAATTTTCTCCGAGAAAAATACGCCATCGTGGCAGCGGTCGAAAATTTGCTGATGCTGATAGAGATGGTATACCAGATCATTTAGAAGGTGATATTAATCAAAACAATATCATTGACTATTTAGAAGATTTGGATAATAACAGTATACCGGATTATCTTGAAGATTCTGACAAAGATGGTATACCAGACTATTTAGACGAAGATGCTAATACAAAGTTTTCACCCAAAGTATTAAGATCATTAAAACCAGCCAGACATTATGCTGATATAGACGGTGATTACATACCAGACCATTTGGAAGAAGATAATGATGGTGATGGAATTCCAGACTACCAAGAAGATTCTGATTCGAATGGTATCCCAGATTATTTAGAAGATAGTGATGGTGATGGTATACCGGATTACATAGATGAGGATGCTACGACACAGTTTTCACCGAAAAAATATCGTGAATTACGTTCTTCTATGAAATTTGAAGATGAAGACGGTGATGGTATACCAGATCATTTACAAGGTGATTCCGATGGTGATGGAATTTTAGATTTTCTTGAAGATAGCGATGGTGATGGGTTACCAGATTATTTAGAAGATGCTGACGGTGATGGTATTCCAGATTATTTAGATGAAGACGCAAATAGCCAATTTTCACCGAAACATTTCACTGACAAAAATAAAGATGGTATACCGGATCATTTAGAAGGTGATTCAGACGGTGATGGTATACCGGATTATCTTGAAGATACTGATCAAGATGGTGTCCCAGATTATTTAGAAGATTCCGATAATGATGGTATACCGAATTATTTAGATAATGATGTTGTTGATGTGGAAGTTGAAGCAGTTATTGAAGCGTATGATAAAGATACTAACAATAATGGGATGGCAGATTATTTAGAAGATTGGGACGGTGATGGTATACCAAATTATCTTGAAGACGAAGATCATGATGGTATTGTAGACTTCTTGGATAAACAAGACAATCGTTTATTAAGACGATTGACCAAAAATAAGAAATCAAAATTTCAAAATCCAAATGATAAAAATGCCAATTTTATACCAGATCATGTAGAGGATGATTTAGATGGTAATGGAATTCCAGAATTTAAACAAGATTCTGATGGTGATGGTATACCGGACTACTTAGATGAAGATTATTTTCATCACTTCCTAAAGGAGTCAAAAAAACACACCAAAAAGAAAAGAAAAGAAAGTAAAAAATCTTCGAGTAAAATCAAAGCCGTCCCTGGGATCCCAGACAGTTTGGATCATGATGCAGATAGTGATGGTGCACTGAAAGAGAAAGGTAAATGCATACATTTTTCCACTTATTAATTTTTTAAACAATAGTTTTTCTGTAGTAGTAAGGTTTGTTTCAAAGGCAAATTTAACTAGTGGGATAGGACTCCTAAAAATGATGCAGATTCTCGTAGTTCACAGATAATACAGATTTAAATGGGTAGCGGTTAAAACAAAAAAATAACGTGTATAGAATGTACTTCATGAGAATGAGTCATCTTAGTCACGTGATTATTTAGGTAAGGCCACAAAAATTAAACCAATCAGAGAACGATATTATTAAGGAGCTGATCAATTATTAAATCGATATTCACATTTAGAATATGTTAAGGTATGCGGCGACAAATCGTAGACGGGATGACCTGACATGGCACTACTCAACTATATATTAAATTTAGTTTTAATAAATTTATTGACAATCACATTTCTTCGAAGTTTAGTCAATAATATTAAGGAATAATGTAAATACCATACACTGAAATGTTTCTGACTAAGTACAGTTTATTATTTGTCTACAGATTTTTTTCATATTGTAGATTGAGAATGAGAAATAAGATAACTAAGGGTTTTTTTTAAATCTTACACAATTTTGTCAAACAGGTCATTTAAAACCCTACCATTAAAAATCTAGTATAACCAGATAATCTATACACGAAACTCATTAAACGTTTCTTATTCATTGTAAGATAAAACTTTGTAGCTGAAACACTTAAGGGTATAAGATAGAATAGTCATTTATGAAATATAATCGATTGTATATTGACACAAATTTAATACTAAAACTTAGTTCAACAAAATGATACTAAAGAAATATTATGAACGGTTTTTAAAATTGCCTTAGTCACATGTATCGAGAGTTAATAAGCACTATACAAACTCTGGTGATGCTCTATGAAATATGGTTGGAAGAAAGTTAGGGGCGGCCAAACCAAAACGTGGCATCAGTGCTTGAAGTCACTAACTTCTAGTCTGAGCCATGTTGGTAGATGCAGACTACTTGGATGGGGTCCACGTGACTATCGTAACCAATGGTTGGAGACTCTTGGTGACATGGCTCAGAATCGATCACAATGGCGTAGGTGTATACACTCTCTGTCTTCCCTTAAACTAAGAGATTAAAATCGCTTCATATCTTTCTTTCTATGGACTAATTCTTCCTTCCTGTACTATATCCTTACTGCAATCTTTATTTTATATATTACCACCTCTGAATTAACTACTTTTATGAATCCGGTGTCCATCTTATTGTGTTAATGAGGTATGGCAACTTGGACCGATGCATAAATGTGCCTGGTCCTACGTTGTAGCTGACTGACTATGAAATATTTATTATTGATAACAAAGTTTTCTTAATGGAAATATCAGTGTAATGAAGACCTAGAATCATCAAATCACAAAAAGGGAATATCTCTGAAAACAACATCAATTATAAACAAGTTCAGATTTATTCAGTTTATCATTGAATCCTTTACAACATAATTTTGAAAACATGTCTGATTAATTATTGGATTTGTTAAAGCATTTGTATATCTGATGAATTTCAATGTATGGATCACGTTTTGATGGAGTTTTATTCTCTGAGCTGGATGGTTTGGTCGTAGAGCTTTCATCGTTCTTTTGAACTCTACATTTCTACCTGAAGTTTGTGCTGATGATGTCGTTCAAAAGAACAATGAAAAATCCATGACCAAATCATCCAGCTCAGAGAACAAAACTCCATCAAAATCATCCACCTGAGGATTCATTAATCAGGACTTCAGTAATAACAAACAAACAACCAATTATTAATTGCACGTAAATATAGAGTTTCTTATAAAATCCTCTCAGTTAAGTTCTAAAGTAGAACAATCATTAAAAATATAGTTTGATAAACCTGAGTATAAAAATTTCGAACATAACCATGATAATTAGAAGCATTCAGATCAATGTTTCAACTAAGAATTTCCGAAATAGTGCAATTTAAGGCAGGTAAAACTAGATGAGTGCAACTGAACGTATTATATTTAGAATTTGTAATGAATGCGCAATCAAGTAGAAAAGTATCATCATTTAGTACTAATACCGTAATAACCCAAATCTAAATCATGAACGGCTAGAAGTAAATCTTTCTGACACCTAGAATTTTATATCACTAATGGATGCAATTTTCTGTGAACTAAGCACTTTAATAAGCAATCATTTTAAACAACATCATCGACAACTACTTGATTTAGAAATAAACACTTTTATAATTGTTTACTAGTTCTGAGAACTTTATTTGTGATCGGTTGATAACCTAGTATTTCATGAGTAATTTATATTCCACTGTATTATTGTTGATACAGAAAATAAATTAATATTTAAACACTTGAAAATATACCCAGAATCTAGACATTTAGATTTTTAAACTTACGATGAACAATACTTTTAGTATGGATCAAGTTAATAACGTTTATACTGACATATTTCAATAAGGTCAACGCAAAATATTACTTGTACAATCTTTGGAAATATTTAGAGACATATCATGGTTGAGACCATGAGTCAATTGAAGCTAGACCACCAAGGAAAACCTGAAAGTACTGGGTGGCCGTTTCGTCCTATCGTGGGACTCCTCAACAGTGCGCATTCACGATCCCGCCCCCCCACGAGACTCGAACCCAAGACCTATCGGTCTCGCGCGCGAGCGCTTAACCACTAGACCATTGAGCCGGCATCCAACGGTGTTAATATCGAACTTCAACCAATCCACGAAATTGAGCGGCACATCCACCATTGTCTTCAGTGAGTTACTATCTCACAACAGACCTGGTCGAACTCCACTAGTCACTGCTTCTCACTAGAACTCCAGGAAATACCTCGTGAAGCCAGTCACTAGTGAGCATATGCTGATTAATATCAGATGGGGTTTTGTGGATATTGTAGGTTTTCCATGGTGGTCTAGTTTCAAATGGCTCATGATCTCAACCATTGAAATTACTACAATATCCACAAAACCCTTTCTGAAATTATTTAACTGATGGAGACTAATAAATTCGCTTAAAATAAATCAGATTTTTCCTAAAAAACACAAACTAATTTTATTCGAAATTAATTTGATTTGTTTACTTACCTACATATATACTATTCAAACATACAAATATTCTCAGTAAAACGAATTCTCTATTTTATCTGTATATTTTCAGTTGCCGATCGAAATAACAACGGGGTACCAGATAATCTAGAGATGAAAGACTCTGATAATGATGGAATTCCCGATGATCAAGGTATTTCGTCTTAAAAAGCCATGAAAATTCATTGCTTCCCCCCTCACGCACCGAAATGCGCTACAAATTGATATTGAATGGCTTAATAACTATTATTACTATTATGCATTTGTATTGTTTCATGAAAGAAGTATTAATTAATGTGTGCGTGCACGTAAAATACAAATTGTTTGAAAATGCTCAAGATTATCAACTACATGTCGTCAAACATAGTTCCGCTCTAATAACATTCTCTTCTTGATTGGCATCCCTTCATCACCTCTCTTTATATTTTAACGCTTCCTTTTCTGATATTTCCTAATGAGTGAAAAAAAATGCATAGATGGAGTCAACCAATATTGAGTATATCCCACCGTCTTTCTTCTACGCTCATACATATGTATACGTATTGATATGAACCGTTTTGTTATTGTTTCTGTTATTTTATTTCTACCCATTTGTTGTTAATCAAATCATGACGTACTACCATCTTTGAAGTAACCCAGATTTCTTTAAATGTTAGATGTTTTTATTTTCATTGATTTTCCGTGAATTTCTAAACAACAAAACTGCATGTCTTAATTTCCTCTAGGATCTTATATTGCGTTTGTCTATTTGTATGCTGAAGCTTTGAGCTGTATGTTAAATTTCTTCATCCGTCTAATTTAAAAATGTGATCATTGGATGAAAATGGAACATTAAGATTGCATGTTCTATAATGGAGATATTGAGTTAAAATGAGAAAAATTCCCCTACTTACAAATATAAAAGTTACTTAAACAGTACAGTCCCTAAAAATATTGAACACTTTTTAGATTTATGTACTCCCATTAAACTCTTTAACTAGTGTGTCTTACAGAAGTTATTGATAGAACATTTTATTGCTCATAATGTAAACATTAAGTCAGCAAATATAATCAACATACAGAAGTACACCTAACTGACTACGGAATAGTATACACATAGTTATATTGTGTTATATTGTCTAGTTCTAAATGCTTATCAAACTGTAATATGGTCACTAGTTGAAGTGGCTATTTGTCCGATACTGAGCAGTAAAACGGGGGGCACATCTCTAGTCTTAAAAGAATTGATGCTTCCAGTGAGATTCATATTTAGGTCATTACCCACAATCATAATCAGAGACGTTAGTTAGATCTGTAGTATAAAATTGCCACCAAAATTGAAAATACGCCTTTCTAACGACTATCAGCTAGCATGGAATCCAAGATTCCCAGCTTCCTGCCGATCTCCTCCAACCAATTTGTAGAATTATCTCATTTACATAATCAAGACATCTAATAAGTAAACCACATAATCTATTCGAAATTTTTTGTATTGATGAGTTACTAATAGTAGTAGTAAACTAACACAAATACGTAGTAAGTAGATCTATATAATTTTATACATACGATTTGGAAGTATGAAGACAATTTGTCAGTATACAAAAACTCTAAAACCCGAAGTAAATGAATCTATTGTCTGAGTTTTATTACTTAGTCCAACATGCTTCTTCGGAGGAATCCTTAGTGTAATAAACCAAGATCTACATGTATATGTATGTTAAGCACAAGAATTTCAATCATAACGGTGATATTCTTTGCAAAATAATCAGTAAGATTACAGCTTTGAAATGGTGATATTTGAAAAGATTTTGAAGAATAAAAGAAAAATAATTCGACAAACTGTATTGACCACCAGACAGCCAAATCAGTAGCTTGTAAATATTTACGTACATATCTACTAAAAGGTTTCAATTAGTTCTTTAAATAACTTAATATAGACTATGTCTCTAAATTAAATAATGAAGAGATATACAGATATTCGGTAAACAGGATACGAAAGTTTAAACACTGAATTTAAGTTCGATAGATAAGACTTGTGAAGGTTATCGTTTGTATTATAGACAACTATCTTCTATAATAATTAATCAGGCAATAACATGAATCAATTAGTATCCCTAATAATATTACTGTTGTACTAGGTGTCTTAAGTTAAAAACATTCTCTGCTTATAATTTTCTTATTGTTATGTACCAATGCCAGACAGTGAACCTTTTATTTTTTAACATTGATATTCTTGTGTTTCGAAAATTGTTATTGTAAACATTTTCTACAAAATTTTTTTTGTTGGAATGTTCTATTCTTTTTCTACTTAGACGATGACGACGATAATGATGGTATCAAGGATTATCATGAAGATCGAAATGGTAATCAGATGTTGGATATTCTTGAAGCAAAAGATACAGATGGTGATGGCATTCCTGATTATCTAGATGACGACGATGATGGGGACGGTATACCTGATTGCGATGACGATGATGACGATGGTGATGGTAAGCAAAAACTTTCTGTTACTTGCGATGACTTCTGGATTCAGCTACAGAGTGAATATCCGCATTCTATACACTTGCGCACCCATTAGCGAGAGAGAACTGAGGAATGGTTATGAAGCTTCAACTGACAAACCAAGTTCATTTGTCACAAGTCTTTGATATCTGTTCATTTGTCCCCCTAACCTAGACAACGTTCTGATGTGATAAAAATTCCAGAGATAATCAAGAAACAACATTAATTTGGGAATGAACTTTGATAACTTTGTTTGACTATAGGGTTTCTCAACAATATAAAAAATATGAACAATCATCGACAATACTGAACGTGAATAATTATCATAGAAAATCATTGGAAATTCCATTGCTGAAATTTAATCATTATTACTTCCATAAAGGATAAGGTTGAAATGATTTGATATTTTCTCATCTGCAGCCATCAAAGTCTTTATCTCAGTCAACAAGATTATCTAGGCCTAAGCTCTTGGATAGGTTACTAATCAATGACTAAGTGTCAGCATTAAGTGTTCATACAGTTCAGGACTTCCATTAGTTTTTTTTTCCGGAATCAATATAGGATGGCACATGTTTCGAGATATAAGTAGCTCTATCTGTCTCGTTGAATTTCACTTTTATATGTATTAGAGTAAAATATCTAAACTTACTTAAAGGTAGCTTCAGTAAGAGTACTAAAACCGCAATAGATTAATCGTCCACACTAAAATGTCCAACATTTTCTAAATTTCTCCATAACGCTCATGTCCATCTGATTATTACGACCTCAAACTTAATATTAACCAATCAAAGCTGTCAGTGTTAAGTTAAGCTAATCAGCCAATCAGGTACAAATATGGTTATATGGTGATTAGATAATTATAATGACAAATAAATACATCTACACGCTATAGATCGAATATCATTTACAGCATGGTGATTTCTGTATTTTTTTTATCTAAAAGTTTTTTCATCCCGAGTTATGCAATGGTAATTATTGGTTATTATTTTCTGAAAGTAATGTGAGATGTAAATATTCCTCCAGTGGTCGCCTTTCCTCCGTGGGATTCGTAATCGATTGGCGGTTATAGGTAAGAATGGGTGATTAGCCCGATCTCCACCACCCGGGTTACCGCTTACGTTAGTTCATGAATCATTCGTCTCATTATCCAGGAGGCACGACGCGGATGTGTGAGTTGGATTTCGCTCCAAACTATAAACGTAAATAACTTACAATACGTCAGCCTTATCATTTTAAATGCTATCACGGACATTGATAACATATTCTTGAGTGAGTTGTATCTGGTAGCGTTTCAATCACTTGACGTGTTAAAGATCATTAAAAATTTGATAAGCCTTCAGGTACAATAATCTGTATTATAATTACAAATCTGTGTCATGTCTGAGAAAGTTTTCAATTTTTCACAGTTCACTTTTAATTGTTGACTTAAATCTACATAACTGAACAGACTAGGTTTCATTTCTATGTGGTCAATAAGAAAATTATTATCTCTTTTTATCTCAATATCTATTAACGGTCGGTTGTATAATATGATGGTCTAATACTTCCGTAGTCTGTGAAGTTTAGTTTGACTACCGATCCTATAAAACAGATTACAATTTATCATAGAAGTATTTTTTGAAGGATGTTCATAATAGAGAAGATTGTATTGATTATGTTTTAAATTCTGTTGGATGAATCACATATCAGAAATACAAGAGATTACGTTTATATTTCCTGAAGTTACATTTACCCATCATTTGTGTATCTCAACAGCAGTACAAGTCTTCAGTTTTACGGTTGTTCACTAACCATCTTAAAAAACCCATTAAGTACAGTAAGCCTTATTCGATTTTGCATTTTAGGTATATTAGACATTGATGAAGACGAAAACAGGAATAAAATTCCTGACCATTTAGAAACCGAAGACACTGATGGGGACGGTAAATTTTGTTTAAAATTATTTGCTATCAGCTGTTTTCCCCTTGATTTTTGACTAAACAAAAATCCATGAACTTTAGTCAACACTGGAATGCTATGCAGATTATTAGCTACTTTTCAGTCATTGTTTTATCAATTCAGTCTACCTTAGAAAGGGTCAGCTAGTTGTTATCAGTGTAGAGTCTAGCACAGATGTAGGTTGGCTCAAGTTGCCAAACTACTTTATGATAGGACAAGAGGTAACTAACATAGTGTATGGAGAAAGAGATTGGAATAATGTATTAGCTTGTAGCTCTTCTAGGGTTACCGCCAGTACGGAGACCTGGTAAAGGAGGAGGGTTGGGCAAGGGTCAGCAAACCCATCCCGTAGAAAACAACATTGCTAAAAAAACGCTGACCATAATAAACAAATTGAACCATTTGAACTCTGCCCTCCGAGTTGAAGAGTCTTCATTCAGAAGAACTATGACGCCTCACGGTGAAAGCCGAGATTCTTCGGAAATTACTAGACCTATGCCACTTCTAACAACCAGAGCAACAATTAATGTCGGTACATGGGATGTTCGAACAATGTAGATCGATCAAATAGCTATGGAAATAAGGGGATACAACTTGGAGGTTCTCAGAATAAATAAATGACAATAAAAAAGATTAAGCAGAGTGTAAAAGTATATATGAAGGGATATAAAATTGATAGGAAGATCAAAAGTCGATACTGCTTAAATGATTTTACAATTCTAGGTTAAATCTGTTTTAGATATTTTGGAGCAGTGTGAACTTTTAAGACGTCACGGGTACCCCTTCAATTTTGAAACCGATTATAAACTATCTTCAATACCCAGATCTATGTTTATTTTAAGAACAAGTCTACCAATCTATGGTTTATGTAGTGAACTTCGAGTCACAATTTTCGATTACGAGTTATTGTTACTAATGCATAGAGCTGTTTTCGGATATGCGGGCTATCCACTGTTACTATAGAGATGAAACATCTTTTATCTTGGTGAAGCATTTCAGAATATAGACTTATGATGCAATTTTAATGAGATTTACCTAAAGTTTTGCTTCTGTATGCCCTCAAATGAGTGAGTTGAATCTTGTTGGAAAGTAATGTATGATGAATTAAATCTTATTAATTGGATTAAATTTTGAGTCATATAGTGTAACCGTACTGTATTGTATTGCCTTCCAATTTTCTACCTCCTTTTTAGTTCGTTCTGGGTCGTTCAAACACTGTGTTTAATTATTTATCTTGCGAACTTTGCGCTGTGCAAGAAATATTACAGGTACACCTTGTGTACAAGCACCAACTAGCACGAAAACTAAATACAGCATTTTCTGTCGACTACCTAACATCTAAATATAATGCACGTAATTTTGAGTTTCTTACACAAGTAACCACAATGTAACTTGATCAATAAGATTCAACCAGAACCAAGGACTAGACAAACAGTGTCGATATGACGAAATGAAATATGGGACCCTAAAGTTTTTATTTCTGTTCATCTG